TTTTTGGTTTCATATATATTGTTTATCTATGTTATCTGTTTTGGCTTTCTGTATTTTGTTTTATAATATGTATGTTAGCTGTAAGATTACTTATAATGACATAAATAAGTTTCTTGCTACATTTGGAACCGACTTCAAGAATCTTCAAGGCTACGCTTCTGGCCCAACTGAAGTATTTCTGGACCTATTCGACTTAGGTGTCTTTAAAAAACAGCGTACCAATTCTGAAAACGCCGGCAACACTGTTCCTAGCCTTCAGGAAGCGTGAGTGTCCATGGGCAGCGGTATCACTTTATCAGCTGAGCCTTCTGCCCGTTTGCCCCCGTGGTACATGAACTCCTTGCTATAAAATAAATATTAATAATAATAATAATAATAAAGCCTTTAATCAGATAGAAAATAATAACATAATTTTAAACTTAAACTTAACACTAGTGAGTCGGTGACACCGACAACCCATCTGTTTGCCCAACTTTGGCAAAGGCCTCCTCCATTTCTCTCCACTCTGCTCTGTTCTGAGCTTTCCTGGTCCAAATTTTCCCAGTTACGGATTTTATTTCGTCTTCCCATCTTCGAAACTGTCTACCTCGTTTTCTTTTATTATTTCTTGGGTACCAATATATGATCTTTTTGTTCCAATTTTCTATACCTCTTATTACGTGACCAGCCCATTTCCATTTCAATCTTCGTATCCTCGTTGTGACGTCTTCAATCTTCGTGTGGTTTCGTATGATTTTATTATTGATTCTGTCGGACTTCCTGATATTTAGCATGCTTCTTTCCATCGCCGTCTGGCATGTCTTCAATTGCCTGGTTTGCATTTTAGTGAGTGCCCAAGTTTGGCAGCCGTATGTTAATACCGGAAGTATGCAAGTGTTATACAGCTTTGATTTGACATTTATTTTTATTTCTGTGTTTTTCATGATTTCGCTAAGCCCCCAGTAACATTTCCACGCTTTCCCAATTCTTGTATCAATTTCCTTCGACATTATACCAGTGGTTGAGATCTGTTGGCCCAGGTATGTGTACTCTTTCACATAATCAATTGACTCTCCATTTACTATAATAATATCTTCTGATGCATTCGTCATGGCTTTAGTTTTTGAGGTGTTCATTGTTAGCCCTACCTTGCGGCTTTTCCTCTCCAGGTCTGTAATCATAATTCGTAGATGCTCTTTGTTTGTAGCAAATAGTATGATGTCATCGGCGAATCGTAGGTGTGTTAGTTGTTCCCCGTTTATGTTTAGTCCGTACCCATCCCATTTTAATTCTCTGAAGATGTCTTCTAGTACAGCTGTGAATAATTTAGGTGATAGGGGGTCTCCTTGACGTACACCTCTATTTATTTTGATTTCTTTTCCTACTTTTTCTAGTTTTATTCTAGCGGTACTATTCGTGTATATATTTTTTAATATTCTGATGTACTTTGGGTCGACTCCTTGATTTTTGAGGCAGTGCCAGATATTTTCGTGCTCTATTGAGTCGAATGCCTTGTTGTAGTCTATGAAGCAACAATAGAACGGCACATTGAATTCTTTGGTTTTCTCAAATATTTGTCTTACCGTAAGTATATGGTCTAATGTTGAATATCCCGCCCTGAAACCAGCCTGCTCTATAGGTTGATTTTCGTCCAGATTTCGGGTTATTCGCCGCAAAATTACTTTCGCAAAGACTTTATAGATGTTTGACATTAAGCTTATCGGCCTATAATTGTTCATGTCACTCCTGTCACCTTTTTTGTGGAGGAGGATGATCGTTGATGTGGTCCACTGTAACGGAATTTGTTCAGTGCTCAGTATATCGTTAAAGATGTATTTTAGTAGTGGTGATATCTCTTTTTGCAGACTTGAAGCATATCATTATTAATCCCGTCAGGGCCGGAAGCTTTATCCTTCTTCTGGGATTCAATTGCTTTGTTTATTTCTGCTTCTATTATATGAGGAACATTATCGTTGCTAGTTAAGTCTATATTGTATGTATGATATTTGCTGGAGTAAAGGTTCTCATAGAATTTTGTGGCTATTGATAAAATATCCGATCTGATAGTCCTTGTCTTGCAAAATTGGTCTTTCATATTAGGTATCCACTTTGTATTGTCAGATAAGAGCTTAAGAGCCTTTTTTATGCCACCCGTCTTGATGATATGTTTTTCAAAAGTGTCACGTCTAAGACGTTCTCTGTCTCTTCTCATTTGGCTCTTAATTTCTTTGCTAGTTTTTCCTATTTGTTCTCTGATAGATTTTGTTTTGTAAGTCATTTTAATTAATTTTGATCTTTTTTCTATGAGGTCTTTTGCTTTAGCTGATATGTGGCCATTGTCCTGTGATTTGGTTTTAGACGTGGTTTTCGATCTTGCTGTTAGTATCTCGTGTATTATGTTGTATTTCTCTTGAGTTTTTAGGTGCTCGAGCGATGATACCTGCACGGACTTGAGGTTTTCTTTTATGTTGGCAATACTAGTGTTGCTGCACATTGTGGATGTTTTAATTTTGAAGGGTCGACATAACTTCAAACTAAATGATGCGTTTAAACACGCTCTAAGCATTCTATGGTTACTGTTGAAGTTAAGGGTAGAGATGGTGCCACAGTCGTCGATTGATTTGGGTCTGTTCGTTAAAAAGTAGTCTATTTCATTTTTGTATCGACCATCTGGTGATATCCATGTCCATCTTCTGGAAGCTCTTTTTTGAATACACTATTCATTATTTTCATATTATTTTCAAATGCCATTTCCATCATCTTTTGCCCGTTTCGTGTTCGTTTTCCAGTACTGTAAGGACCTAGTACGACATCTTCACCGTTTCTTGGGGTTCCAACACGTGCATTGAAATCGCCCATTATAATGCAGTTTTTGTGTGTGTGTTCTTTTAGGGCGGTGTTAAGGGATGAGTAGAAAAGGTCGATCTCTGAACTCGTTGATTGCTCAGTTGGTGAATATATTTGCACTATAGACCATGTTTCTCTGCCTGGAGGGATTCTAACATTCAATATAGCGATCCTTTCTGATATGCCGATTATTTCCACTATAGAGTTTTTGAGTTCTTTCTTGATCAGGAAACCTACTCCATGTCTTCCTGGAGTTTCACCTTTATAATATAATATGACTTCATCGTATTCCTGAATTGATTCGCCAATCCTTCTTACTTCGCTCAGGCCTATAATGTCCCACTTAATATTTTTGATAGAATATAGAAGTTCTTTAAGGCTTTCTTCAGACTTTAGGGATAATGTGTTGAATGTGGCTATATATATTTGTTTGGTATAAAATTGTTTCTCAGTTGCACAAGTATTCGTTTTAGGTGTGGGAGTGGGAGTAGTATTTGGAGGGTAATGGTCGCTTTCCCCCACGGTGACCAACCGTCTTGGGGTGATTGCTTTCAATGTTTCTTTGGCTAAGTGTGTTTCTATTGTTGGGTTGGGTTTCCTGTTGTTGTCGGCGTCTGTTGAGCGTTTTTTGATGTTGATGGTGAAGGTAGTGACAGTGATCTACCACGTGCTACGTAGTCTAGCATGCAAGTTTTATTAATCTTCTTTGGGCCCGCAGTACGTGTGTAAGTTGGGGATTTGCTTGGGGAGTTAGTGGAGTCTCTTTTTCTCTTATCTCTTTTGTCCTCTTTCGGTTCTTTCACAACTATTTTATCCTTGAAAAAGTAACAAATTTTTCCCATTGCTCGTTCCTCCTTTAGTTGAGGCAGAAGTTGTTTCCTCTTTTCCAAGGTTTCCTTGCTAAGGTCCTCCTTAATATAGATATCAGAATCTAATTTCTTTTTGTTCCTAAGTACTTCGTTTCTTCTCCAGTTTGTTGTAAACATTACAAGGATAGGACGCGGTTTGTTGCCTTTTTTTTCTCCTAGTCGATAAGCTTTATTTATTTCATTCGAGTTAAGATGAAGATTCATGTTTTCTTCAAGTACTTTTTTTATGACTTCGATTGGAGACTCCATGCGCTGTTCCTCTTTTATACCAAAGAAGATTATGTTGTTTCCCTTCCTGTATTCTTCCATCGACTTAATTTTGTCTTGTAAGATTTTTTACTTCAGTCTTCAGGCTTTTGTTTTCTTCCACAAGAGCAGACAATTTTTCGTTAATATTCTCTGACACGTTTCTAGTGACAGCTTCGGTTATTGCCTTTGTTTGCGCAGCCATCTCCTCCTTCATTCTGTGCCAAAAAAAATCCATCTCCTTTTCCATTATTGAGTTGGAATACTAGATAAGGGTTGTCAACACCAGATTCCGGTTTCGGTGTCAGCCAGTAAACATATGTTATCGTTAACTCGTCCGAAAATAATTACCATTCGCTTCGAGCTCGGGAGCGGCGGCGGCGGTATAATTCCTTACAGAATTATTTTTCCCTTTATATACTATCTGTTAGAAATAAATAAGATATCTTCATATAAATTTATAAAACAAAAATTAAAAAATTAAAAAGAATTGTTCTTTCAATATCCCGTGTATAGGTTTGAACTTAGGCCGATTGAAATGTTCGATTCCGGAACACAGCTTAACTGCGAAGCCGAGTACTGTATGACGAGGAGGACGAATTACTTGAACAGTTTCTTTCTTGAGTGACGTTTACAAAGAGTGACGTACACACGTTTAACATCACAGATAAAAAGTCATAGTTTTTTCTTTTTTTGTAGTAATATCAACAAAAATTGACTGATCCTTGTTATAAGTCACTCGCACTTGATTTGTACACGCACTTTTAATTGTTTTAGTCAAAACGAAAAGTCACCGAAATCGAAGTCAAGACAACACAATTTAAAACGTGATATTTTTCTATTTTTTACACTAATAATAAGGCAGATACGTTTGCCTATGGTATATCTTCTCCTGGTTCGCTTCAATATTTACTTTTTATTGTGTATTCTCACTTATTTCTATTTTTAATTGGTTATTTTGCGAGGACTCGATATTCAACTTGCGCCTACCCGCAACAAGACAAAATAAATATTACAAGTATTTTAACTTTTACGTAACCATAAAATTTAAAAAATGTGCTATATATTCATTAGGAAATACATACCAATCCCTCCAGTGACGAAAACTGGAATATCAGCCAATTCAGCAGAAATAATAGTCCCGGCAACAGTAGTTGCGCCATCTTGTTTACCAGCCACCACCATCGCAAGATCTCTCCTCGACGCCTTTATTACATCTTTGGCTTGAGCAAGATATTCCAACTGAGTTCTTGTTAAGCCAATTGTCAATTGTCCCTTGAGAATTGCGATTGTTGCTGGCACCGCGCCCTGAATAAAGAAAAAACTTGGGTTAAGATGACTGAGACTGATGATTTAGCAGTAACACAAGTACGAGATAAGGCTGTACATTTCCCAGTACAAGGTAAGCGGGACTGTACATTTCTGAAATGTAGTCATTTTAAATTAGGTAGAGGTAGACTTGTCGTAAGATGACTTCCAGTAATACAGGTACTGTACTGTACATTTATGCAGTGTAGTTATTTTAAATTAGAACCTCTAAGCCACTAACTTGTGTTAAGATGACTAGCAGTAATACAGGTACGAGATAAGGCTGTACATTTCCCAGTACAAGGTAAGCGGGACTGTACATTTCTGCAATGTAGTCATTTTAAATTAGGTAGAGGTAGACTTGTCTTAAGATGACTTCCAGTAATACAGGTACTGTACTGTACATATTTTATGCAGTGTAGTTATTTTAAATTAGGACCTCTAAGCCCCTTCTCAAGTTTCAATATGTCTATAGTTTTTAATAGTTAATTCTTCTGACTTATATTGAGTGATAATGACACTTTTCTGTAAATGCATCCTCTTGGACAAGACACCGATCAGGCACATAGAAATGTTTATCTTTAAAGGTAAATTAAAAATCTAAATGTATTTAATATTTATGTGTAATTTTACATAAAAATTACAGATAAAAGGTATGGCGTCTTGGTTGCTCTTATAGTTTGCAATCTCTTGTCAATAAACTACGAAGCAACTTCAATTTACTAGCGCCATTGATTGATTCCATATTAATTATCTACATAATTTACAATAACAAATGATGTCTGTATTAGGTTAAACTTTATTAAGTCAAATTTGTACTCTGTTTGTAGACTTGTATCCATGGTCATGAGAAAAATGTGTCAGTTTATTATTCTGTGCATGTCGCACGTTACAGTGCCACTGTATACTTTTCTTGGCTGGTAAGAGCGTCGCTGTCATGGATATTAGTATTGCCAGTAAATAAAAAATTACCATTATTAGGGGAATAATTTGAAGTCATGCACGCTAACTTAATAACTAATTGAAATGTCTAAATAAAACAACGTATCTAGAATCTAGACAATACAGTTCTAGGCTTAAATAAATGTGACACAAACTTTGGAACAACTGATATGATAGGTTTTGTTAGCTGTACTATTAATATTATATTTTAAGAGACCTTGCAATCAGAACCGTTCGATAATTAAAACTTTGCCATTGTATTTAATAATGCAAGGAGTTAAAAAAGATACATTTTAGTTGAATTTTTATTAGAGATTATTTATTGTACGCACGAAAATGGCGACGGTAGTACAAATTTCAGCCGGCCAAGAAAAGTATGTGGCACTGTAGAGGTAATTCGCCTATCTTAGATTAACATTATTATATAGGAATTTGGCAATTTCAGTTGCAATATATGGCCTATGTAAACGGTTACCTCAAGACTCAAGAGCCTTAATCGATCAAGAGATTCAGTGTTTAATCTCATCCCTATCGACACAGTGATTACCGAAAGCTTTAATCTACATATATCAGTGAATAGCTGTATATATGTTTTCAAAAATGGATATAAACTTTATTTATAAGTAATTTTACAGCTACTCTCTCTATAATCAGCCGCGCGGTGGTCAGCAACGAAGCATCTGTTTCCACCGGTTTCTACCCAGCGCCTCTCTTATGACAGTGTAGTTTTTGAGGACCATGAGTCTTTCACTTGATCGATCCATCTGGTTGTAACCCGCTACGTGATCGTTTGCCTTCTGTGTTACACCACGATCAGTTTCTCCAAGCGTCTGCGGATTGTATGGCCGATTTATAATATAATTTGTTGTCGGCGTATGGTAGACATACCAACACTGCTCATGGCCAACCTGCTTCTGCTGCTGGAAACGTGCAGAACTCCAACCCTCAAGACACAGTAGGCAACAATAATGGAACTATAAGGAAGCTGTTACTGAAGTCGTGATATGCATACGCAAGACAAATAATTGTATTCGTTTCGAGTTGATTCAAAGTCTGTCAATTCGCGTCTCTATGGTAATTTCCGCCAATTGTTATTGTACCGTAACATATCTATTAATTGCTAATCTAAGTTTTTTCTATTAATGAGACATAGACTGCGTCAACAGTAGAAATTCTTTTGTCCCGTTTACTCTTACACAGTTCTATACACTGTTTCACTTTCGTATTTCTTTAGATCCCTGATCCAATCTACTTGTATTTTATCTAAGATTCATATCATAGATGAAGTATTTGTTTAGATGGTTGCAAAAACATGTTTCTATTTCGGTTTAGGTGAATTCCATTACAAACTGTTAAAACATTGTACACCTGGCTTTGTTATCCATTATAAAACTATGAAATAAAACAATGTATATAAATATTGTGAAAAATGTTTTTGAAGCCGGTGAGAAATAGCGTCAGCACATTAGATTATATCTAGTATTACAAAAACGATTTTACAGGAATCAATTTCTCGCGCTATTGTAAAAATTATAAAAATATTATTTATTTCGTAATCGTATCCTAACATAAATAATATATAATAAAAGCCAATTCTTCTTAAGATATTTTCAAAGATTGAAACCAAAAAGATTCAATCATTTACGAAGGGAACAAATCAATAAAAACTATTAAATACATTTAACTAAGTAATACCTAATTCGAGTGTGTGGTGTAATGGTGTGTATGTGGGGTGTGCCGTCGTTGTCAAAGTCATAGTCAAAATCATTTATTCATATAGGTAACGCAATGTACACTTATGAACGTTAAAAATATCAAGCATTTCATATTTATATGTATGAAATGCTTATAATTTTACATTTACTGCCAGTTTCCAAATCAAGAGCGTAGAATGGAAGAGAAGAACTGGCAATAAACTTCGCCACTCTTTTTAATCACCAAGTTTTTTGTTTTACACAACGTTTGTAAGGAGCTGCAACCATTACACAATGTTCCACATGACATCTTAAGTAATAAATAATAATAAAATAAATTAAAAATAAAGATTTGTCTTCGATCAGCAGGAGGCATGGTGAAATAGGAGCATGCACTTATATTGTCGTGGGAACAACACGCGAACACATAGTCGAAATAACTAACATCACCGCATACACGAATTCAAGTACGACCAGTCACCACAAGTAGCACCCGTTCACGTTTTTTTTTTTTTAAAATAACATGTTGTCGTGCACAGCGTTTTATAGTGTCAATTTGTCAAGATCATACTGGTAATTACCGTCGATTCACTCTGCCAAACATGAGTGACAGATATTTAGTTACCTGCTTCCGAATAATATTCTCCACTTCCAAAGCAGTCTCCAAGTTTTTTGGATATGGCATCCCATGGGTGATAATAGTCGATTCTAAGGCCACGATTGGCTTGTTATCATTCTTGGCTGTTCGTACTTCGTCGGAGTAGACCAAGGGTGTGCTGTAGCGCCTGATGAGAGTTAGGCTACGCCTAGATATTTTGAGAAGACCTGCCATTTTTCTGAAACAAAAGACAATAAAATTATCACAATTGGTTTTCGATATCTTCTATCTTCTAATATATAAAATTCTTGTGTCACAATGTTCGTTCCCATACTCCTCCGAAACGGCTCGACCGATGAAATTTTATATTCATATTCAGTAAGTTTGAGAATCGGCTACTATCTTTCAAACCCCTAAGTGATAAGGTGTGTCCCACCAAAATTTTTGAATTTTTTTGTTTTTATTTTTTTATGAAACATCAGTACAACAACAAACAACCTTTAATTTTCACTCCTCAACGACCAATCCCTATTTTTATTATTGATGATTATTTTTAATGAACTAAAAAAAAAAAAAAAAATCCTACAAATAATATACATGGCAAAATAACGTATTCGGTAAGTAGTATAGGAATAAGATGAAATCTGAAGTGATGCGTAAGAGGGTTTTCTATAGCTATAAAAGCAGGGTGCGCAGTGTCACTTCATCGTAGCTCCAAAATAGACATTACTTAAAATGACGGTGACCCCAGCTGGTGCTTTTCTCGCTCAACGAATAAGTATCGCAATACAGCGAGGAAATGCTGCCAGCGTTAAAGGTACACTGCCACAGGAAACAAACTTTTTAAATTAGTTTCAATTTTCTTTTAATTAATTTTTAATTATTTTTGAATAAAAGTAATGTTCTTGCCAATTGTTATTCGTATATTAGTTTTAAAGAGTTCATCAAACACATTATATCTAATGTCTGGGCTATGCCTGCCAGTATTTTTATACCAAGGAGTATCGCTTCATCAATATTTATTGAACACCCCTCGTATTTACGAAAATATTCATATTATTATTTTTCTACATTGTATATCCCTGTTGCGACGAACTTGAGACATACACAAGAATATACTGATTTATGTTATTGATTTAAAAAAATACATACATTATCCATACAATACGATAATACAAAATAAAAAATCAATCTATAATTAAATACATAATATTAAATAAATAGTACATAATATCGCTACTGAGAACGCATTCTGGTAACACAAAGATGCTTTCTCCGACACTATCGATAGTTGTATTTTGTATGTACTACGTCCTTAACACAGATCCCCGTGCAACAGACTTCGTATTCAAGAGTCTGGCCCTTGGTATCGCAAATAACCTTGGCCTTCGCCGCCGTACGTATCCCTTAGCTACAAAAAGCCCAATTCTTGAAGAATACTTGGGTTGCTCATTGCTCGCCAACCCCCGGAAGACTTTAAGTAGATATTAGGTCAACTGTAATTCCCGTCTTGTAGAAGTTACAATTCCAGCCAATTAAATTCAATACAATGTTGCCAAGGAAATGTGTTATCTTAGACAAGGGACATTAATCAAGCAAGTCACGCAAACCTATGTCCTGCGATCTTTTATCACCCTTAACGACAGCGTTTCGAGTGAACTGACCGATGTAACCATTACCAACTCGTCATCCTCGTAGAATAGTGACGGATCTGATAAATAGTAAACTTTACAGGGCAGCTATTTCAAAATAATATCATCATGTTAGTTTTTGTCATAACTTTTAATTCATATTCTGTTATTATGAAAATTGGCACACATGCAAAAAAGGGATTGTTTTGTAACAAAATAAAAATAATAACATTAAATTACACAGTTTTCTAGAAAAATAACATGCTTCTATCAAATCCGTCACTTTACCGACTGATTAATTTGAAATTTAAAATACATGGAATATTTAGTCAATGTAGTATCCAAAAATTGTAAAAAGTCGATTTTGGATTTTTTGCAAATCCGACATTGTTCTACGATCATGACGTTTTATCTGCTAAAACCTAAATAAAAATAAGACTTTATTTAGTCATAATATAGATAATATATGATTTTATTTATATAAATATCACTAAGACAATATTAATTTAAAACGTCAAAAGAAATTAACCTAACCTAAAAACTTAATCATTATAATTGCATTCTTATTACAAACTAAACTATCTAATTTGTTAAATTATTTAATTTTATATTCATTTAAATTTGATGAGCAGTGTTGGCCTAGTGGCTTCAGCGTGCGAATCTCATCCCTGACGTCGTAGGTACGGTCCCCCACTGTGCACCAATGGACTTTCTTTCTATGTGCGCATTTAACGTGAGGTGAAGGAAAACATCGTCAGGAAACCGGCTTGCTTTAGATGCAAACAGTCGACAGGAGGCTGATCACCTACTTGCCTATTAGCTTGACAAATGATCATGAAACAGGTACAGAAATCTGAGGCCTAAAAAGTTTTCGCCACTGGTTTCATTTTATAACATTCGTAATTTTACTTTAAGGTTTAACCCCAGTTTAACAAAAGAGGGTGGAAAGGCGTTGCCATGGCAACCACGATATTTATTTACCATACCGCCATTGACATCTTGACATGTTTAGTGATTGTGAGAAAATCAGTTTTTATTATTTACATTGATTAAAAGGTAAGTGTTATATTTAAAGCTGTACTGTTTCACTTATGTAGAGAATTCCGTTTGTGAGTCTGATCTGAATTGATCAATGCAGCCACCAGTAATGAAGCACCGAAAGAAGGATCAATGCAGCAATGTATAATTTTTCCCATGTGTTGTATACGGAATACGTATAGGTTGCTATTGGGCTTGCCGAGGTTCTGAATTGCCTCAGGTATGGATGCCGTGACCCGAACTGGTTTCAATGCGGAATAGGGTGGCATGCTGGATGCATCGTGCTAAGCACCAATGGTATTCTGAATGTGTAGATCACACAGAACAGAATCTTAAAATGGTATGCTGTCCATGCCCCATTATAGGAGCGTTTTGTTTTGTTTACGGAGCACAACTAACATAGCAACCGAATTGTTACTAAAGTAAAACTACTTATATATCTATATAATCTGAAATAAAGAAGTTATATTTTTTTTAATTACTTTATTAGATTTTATTAAATAAACATACATTATACATTGAAATAAATAACTAACCTTAACATAAACTAAATATATTATTAAAAGGAGTCCCTTTAGGCAAGGTTCCGAAGAAAAATTAGTTTATTTTAGTTATTATTATGTATGGTAATTTATGAATGATAAATATAATTAGTAAAGCGTTTATTTGCAAAGAAAGTGGTACATTTAGATCGACTATTTAAAACAATCCGCACAATAAAAATAGGTTTGCAAATGTCATTAATTTTCATAATGTCATAATAATAAGTTATTTATAATTGTTGTCCAACTTGCCTTTAAAAATTTAATCACTTAAATTTTGGAAGCATTACACGGCAGTGATCTATAACTTCTAGGAAGGTGATTAAATAGTTTGATGGCGTAACAATTTTTTGAATACATCGTGGTGCAAATAAAAATAACTGTGTTCACTCGGGCCAAAGCCAAGTGACCACAGTTATTTTTATGAAGTAAAATTGTAGAAATTTTCAGGTTATTCTTGCCATATAACTAATTTTTGAAAATTAGTATAAGATCGGGAAGTCGAACAATTTGATAGTGAATTATTTCAGGATTATTACGGTGGTGAACATAATGATAGATATTGATAGTTTGTTAAGGGTGCATATCCGTTTTATTTCATTTTTAAAATCTGTATATTTCGAGATATGATCTATTTTTTCTTGTAAGTTGTGGGTATGGCCCTATCAAAGTACAACTTTTGAGTACGACTTTCTAGAATCGTTTTTATTTTTACAATCAAATGTTTTTTTAGCTTATAAATGGCGTGGGGTCTACCCAAATTGCCTGGGTTGACATTCGCAGACCCGACCAAGACCCAGTACCACGTGCGTAGCTCCCTGCGATACTACCAAGGGCATCGCTTCCCAGACACCTTGGTACGAGGGTCTGGAGGGACGGATACAGATGTCGACAGCAACGCTTTTGCCCTGCCAGAAGACTCTGTCAAGTACGTGGTCTTTTATCTATCTAATATATAAAATTCTCATGTCACAATGTTCGTTCCCATACTCAACCGAAACGGCTCGACCCCCTAAGTGTTAAGGGGTGTCCACTGTCCACCTCAAAATTTTACTTTTTATTTTTTAGACAATTATTCTTGTTTTTATATTTTATGATACAGCATACAAAAATACATTCAACCCCTATTTTCACCCTTTTTCGATCAACCCCTATTTTTTATTATAGAAGATAGTTATTTTTATTGAACTAAAAAAATGTTTTCTAGAAATAAGATACTTGACAAAACAACGTTTGCCGGGTCAGTTAGTATAATATAAATATATTTAAGATAAATAATCTAAAGGATAAACAGACGAACTTTAAAAAAATACGATAGACATTATTAATATTATTATAGTCATTAGTCAACTTGACTAACAAAATAAGCTTTTCTTTCTATAGGTATATTGTTATTAACGTTATTCAAAATCATTTATGCATTTAGGTAACACAATGTACGCTTATGAACGTCAAAAAAGAAATACAAATTAAATGCTAAATGCTTCTAATTTTAATTTTACTGCCATTTCTCAAATCAAGGACGTCGAACGAACGAGAAGTTGATATAAACTATCCGCCACTCTTTTTAATCGCCAAGTTTTTAATTTTACAAAATGTTTGTAGGGAGCTGCAACCATTACACCATGTTCCACATCTTAAGTAATTATTAGTTAATTAATAATAAAAAACAAAGATATTTTGTCTTCTATCAGCAGTGGGCATGGTGAAATAGGAGCACGCACTTACATTCTCGTGGGAACCACACGCAATTCCTACCTTAAGTTATTTGAAATAAAGAAAAGTGCTGGCCTAGTGGCTTCAGCGTGCGACTCTCATCACTAAGGTCCCGTAGTAGTCCCGTAGGCTGTGCAGTAATGGACTTTCTTTCTATGTGCGCAACTAGCACTCGCTACAGAAGAAACCGGTATGTCTCAAATCAAAAAATCGACATATGTCAGACAGAAGGGTGATCCATTTATCTATGAAATAAAATGATGCAATCTGAGGCCAAAACCCATTTAGGGTTATAGCTCCTCGGGATTATTATTATTTACCCTTGTAAAATATCTAAATGCCACGGGCCCCTGACCCAAGAGGACCCCTGCCATAGAGATATTATGTTCTATGGATGAATGTGAAGTCTCCAATACGCATTGGGCTAGCGTGGGGACTACAGACCATGCCCTCTCGCCTAAGAGAGGAGGCCTATGGCCATTAGTGGGACATATACAACGTGTAATTGAGTACGCTGAAAATCTCGAAGTTTTTTAAAATTAAACTGAGTACAACGTGACGATTTATATTGATAGGGATAGAATTAAAATTCGATAGAATTGCCACGAAAGAAGTTTTGCCACGGGCCCCAAATGGTATAGTTACGCCACTGTGCATGTGTACTATTTTTTAGAGAAGGCGGCATTTATGTATGTATACCCACAACCCCCTCGCTTCGGGCCTCTTGGAAACGGCGGACTGTGTGTATCGGTTGAGAAGGGCGAAACTTGCCGCAGTCTGATAGTTTGCGAATTACGGAGGGAAATAAAAATTATTGGATTTCCGTTCCCTTTCATCATTTCATATAATCTGATAAAAGCCAAGAGGCTGATTGCAGATGGTTTTTATGTATAGTAAAAGTATAGGTAAAGTGCGATATCAACAGGAAATTAGATTTTGTGATTTTTGTGGAACCAGCTACCCGCTGAAGTATTCCCGAACCAATTCAACTTTTCAAGAAACCTCACCTCACCTGATGTTAAGTGACCATGGACATTGGTTCGGAAATACTTCAGTGGGAAGCAGCACATAGTGGTGCCCGTCAAAAACTGCCTTAATAACGCTCAGTTGTGGAACGACGGACGTCGAGGTGATGCCTGTTAAAATAAAATAAAAATAAAATATGTTTATTATGGAACATAAGATACATGTATCACTTATTCCACGTCGTTTAATTTGAATTTGTAGGCATCCCTACTCATCGGCAAAGAAGACAGAGGGTGTAGGCCGAGAGAAAAAGCCGGCGTAAAAAACTCTCGGTACTCTTTTAAAATAGCAAATCATCAAACAGATGTAGGGTATCTCTGCATCTTCTACCGCATTTACCATTGAGAGTGTTCAGAGGAGTTTGTTCTGACCTGCAGCAGAGTCATTATCGGATGACAAGGCAGAATACAAAATACCATCCGTATCACCTCGATGCCTGTCATTCCTTAAAGCAGTTTTTGCTGGAACTAATTCGACTAAGGGAATTAGAAAAGAGCGTACCAATTCCTAAAAGGCCAGCAACGTACAAAGCGAGCCTTCTGGCAATGTGAGCGTCCATGGGCGGCGGTATCACTTAACATCAGTTGAGCCTCCTGCCCGTTTGCCTGCTATTATCTTTAAAAAAATATCAAGACACCTGAGACCAAGACTAAGGGTTGTAGCACCACTATTTATTTTGTTATTAGAGGTCAAAATCCGTATTTAGGGTAAAACTAGCGTGCTGAATGACAGGTGTGGTTTTATGATAAATATAAACTGTCTAGCTTCAAGGAATGTTATTGTACCAAAATTCACACACGAAATGTCGTAAATAGTCGCGTTTGTAGTTCATACTTATGAATAACGGTTGTATGGCAGTTATGAATCATACAGCACAAAGTACTACGACGCGGTTAATTTATTATTATTTTTTTTTTAAATAAATCAGTGGCGCTACAAACTTTTTGGGTCTGGGTCTCAGATTTCTGTATCTGTTTAATGGTCAATTATCAATCTAATAGGCAAGTAGGTGATCAGCCTTCTGTACCCGACACACGCCGTCGACTTTTCTAAGGCAAGCCCTCACCAATCGAGCGAATGTTAAATGCTCACAAAGAAAGAAAGTCTAATGTACAGGGGGGACGATTTTTTTCGTTTATTCCTTGAACTCTGAGGAAGGTTCTTATTCCGGGACAGTGAACAGTCACTCTGGGGTAGCATAATAATAATAATAATAATAGCCTTTATTGCTGTAAAATTCTTATCATAATACATAAAAATATGAACACTAGTAATAATCGGCAAGGCGGTTAACTTCTGTTTTACAGCTTGTTCTTGGACATAGGTCTCCTGTAAGAGCTTCCACTCCTCTCGGTGTCTAGCTTTAGCCACATAGGGCCAGCTGCTTCTTCGTTTTCGTTGGTCATAGCGAGGAAGCCATTCCGTCGCTTCATTCGTCCATTTATCTGTGTCTTTTGTCATACTGGGGTAACATAACTATTTCTATATGTTGGTATGTTACTAAATAGGTAGGCTATATAAAGGCGAAACGAAGTTCGCAGGCTATGAATGATAATATGTGTATAGGGTAAATATAATATGCACCTGTAGGTTTTATGTTTTTATGTCAAATAGGCTAGTCTATAAGCTGAGAAATAAAATAAAGCAATTTTTTATCTTCATTATTATCAATGATAAAAAACTACCTAAAAAGCGGAAATTCACCAAAAAAACAGAAAAAAATATAACTCCTAAACTACAAAAATCGTAGAACATTCCTCTAAGGATGCTCTATATATGGACCACCCTGTATATTATCATAACAAAGCACCAAGCACGAAGCGAGTGTAAATATATTATTTATTGTACGAATGTTTAGGAAAAATGTAATCTTAGATTAGAAATAAAATGTTAAGGAACTTGGAAACAAATTGGAACAGGCAGGGCCAATTAGGGGTTCATATTTTATAAGCGTTGCGTGTTAGTCACGGCTGTATTTCATAATCAACCTCATTAAATGCAGAAAATGAAGGAATTATTCCGTAGTGATTTATAATAGAAAGATAAAAACATAAAAAAAGTATTAAGTAATTTATCATTTATTTATTATTTATTTATTTACACTTTGTTTCCTTATACAAAACGTACATATAAAAGGTTACATAAGTTATTACGCAACGGGCGGCCTTATCGCTAACAAGCGATTTCCTCCAGGCAACCCTAATATGGAACAATAAAAAAAGAAACACCTACAGAGGGTAAAGTAAAAGAAGTGCATAAATATTTAACATAAACTCAAACTCAAAATAACACAACACTACCAATAACTAAAAAATATAAAATAAATTAATAAACAATAATATGGATAAACAAAAATGTACAAGCTGATCCAAGGGTTAATTGAGACACAATTAATATATATAAGTATCTAATTACGAGGCAGAGGAAAAATGATCAAAAAGAAGTTTTTGAAATAAATTTAAAGACTGAGCTCGTCTGATATCAATTGGTAAGGAATTATATAGCAGGATACATTGCACAGTAAAGGAGGAGTGATACAATTCAGTTTTATGAGTAGGAGTTTCAAGAATAAGATTGTCTAGGGAACGCAAATCAAAACCACCGCCAGAGAGGAACATACAATTTTGCTTTAAGTAACTACATAGGTGTTTTAGAATTTAAATGAACATATAAATGTATGTGAAATGAAACAATTTTAGACACGAGTTAAGTTCGGTGGCGGTTGTTGGACGGATGCTCAAATAAATGAAAGACTATGAATGCAAGTGTAAATCTTTTTTTTTAAAGATGACCCGACCCTCCTGTCCGTATGCCTCCTGTTCTATTAAAAAAAAACTGCGTGCGTACAAAGTATTCACTTCTTTGGCAAACTAATTTTTAACTCTTGTTCATATTTACGAATACAAATCTAAAACTTTAGATTTCCGAGACTTAGAGGGAGGGAAAAAGGAAGATTTAATGAATTTAATTGTCATTAAAATATTAAATGTCGAAAATTAATACAAATAATAAGTTTATTTTTTTAAATTTATTTCTTCGATAATAAAAACACGTGGCATTTAATTTACAATTCGTCATTTGAGATTTCAATAAAAAATCGTTTTGCATAAAATATAAAATACTAATATTTCATAAATTCTCTTTACGAAATTTTAAAAATAGAATTTCTATAAGATAATTCACCCTTCTCACCCTCTCTCAATCGGTCGAAATCGCTCTCTCCCTTTTCTTCGACCAAAACGCTGCACATCTTCGTGACGTTCCGTAAAAAATGTACCCTCATGCGCCTAAAGAAGTTTCACTTCAAAAACATTTATAATGTTAATTAGATAGGTAATTTTGACTTCTTAATTTTTAAAAATTATTTTTCAGTTATGACCCATCATTGACTTATGGACGTGTGAAGCAAGCCGCCTTGCCAGCAGTGGTACCACATTGGGTGCACTACGACAAACGATGCCTCAACTTCACGGCGTTCTTCAAACAGCCAGTGTATGATAATCCAGACGAAAATTACCGAGTACGCGTCGTGAACCTTGTGTATTTTCTAGAAGATGATACACTTACTGTCATGGAACCAAGAGTCAGGGTAAATATATCTTTACTTATAAATCTGTATAGTTTGATTTCAGAACTACTGGTTCGAATTTTAAAAAAATTTACGTGCGCACAAAGTACACATGTCAGAAGTGATACTTCTTTGGCAAACCAATTTTTAAGTCTTGTTCATATTTATACAAATCTTAAACTTTAGATTTCCGAGACTTAAGAGGGAGGGAAAAAGGAAGATAAGTTAGGAATTTAATTGTCATTAAAATATGAAGTGTCGAAAATTTATTCAAATTATATATTTTTTTCTTCGATAATTAAAACACGTAGCATTTTAATTTACTCACTCTTCTCACTCTCTCACAGTCAGTCTGAATCGCTCTCTCCCTTTTCTTCGATAAAAACGCTGCACATCTTCGTGACGTTTCCGTAAAAATTTACCCTCATGCGCCTAAAGAAGTTTTACTTCAATAATTTGTGTTGTTTAAAAATTAGTTCATTTATTCTCCAATAGATGGCGATGTATGAAAACTTTTACTCTTGAAAAACGCCTGCGCAGGTTCTTCTTAAATGTGCATAAGTGTGGTGAACATTAGATCAGATCCATTTCATCGCTCTGTTTTTTTAGGTTTAATTAATTCCGGTTTCTTCAAGATTGTTTCCTTCGTGGATTATTGGTATTAAAGTAGTAGAGTTTTGGGTATGGAATCCTGTAGCCATTAGGATATGCTCAATATGTTAGTTTCGGCATTTCCGCTATGGGACCTACACAGGTACGCGTAGAATCGCGGATGGTCATCTCAGAGGATAGATAAGTCCTTACCTTCAACCGTCCCGAAACGGCGAGAATAAATATCCTCCCTGACGTACACGCAAACTCCCGCCCTCAGCAAATAGGAAAATTCCAATTTGTACCCGGGATATGAGAGTATCAGTCGGGGAGGATATCAGAGTCTCTTATACTTAGCAGTGTCTAGATGGTAATATACCGCGTTAATTTGAGAATTGAGTTCCCTAACATTGATAAGTCCAAAGTGATCGAAGAATAACCAGGAATAATTCATGAAGATTAAAAATAGGGAAATTATGTACCTAGTCCAGCCATAAGTTCTGTTACAAATGAAAATGCATTATTTTTAATTAAGTACTGTAGTATTATTAAAATTTATACCTACATGTTTATTAAAGTCTCAGCAAAAAATAAAAAAATATTCTATTCGAAATGGCCATCTTTGGCTTTTACACAGGCCTTTAATCTGGTTGCCCATGAATCTATGGACACACTGTTTCCAAGGGAAATTTCGCCACTGCTTGCTCCAAAGATTTGCAACTCGATCACTGCAATCCTATTATCATTTACACCCCATTCCATATTGTAATTTGATAATGAACACGAAAAAATATGTGAAATGGCGCGAAATCGAAAGATATTTTTAAAATAATATACGTGTTCCAAATTCAAAATAATTAAAAAGTTGAATTACAAGAAAAGTTTTTATGTAACAGTATTTATGGTCAGACTAGTTAAAGATATATCGATTGATTAAAAAGTAATTAATATAATTAGATAATAACTTAACGGAACGTGACATTGTGTGATAAAATATATAAAAGCGCGTGTAATATTGTACTAGAGGTGTTCAATAAAGTGATAATGAGTATCAGACGATATGTTTATAATAACGGTATTTTATGTTTCACTTTTAAATAATTTCTATATCGTTTTTTAATTCATTCTGGGCACCCAATGAGCAGTGTTGGCCTAGTGGCTTCAGCGAGCGACTCTCATCCCTGAGGTCGTAGGTTCGATCCCCGGCTGTGCACCAATGGACTTTCAAAAAGTTTTTGAAAAGTCAACGGCGTGCGTCAGGCAGAGAAGGCTGATCACCTACTTGCCTATTAGATTACCAAATGATCATGAAACAGCAAAGACCTAAAAAAAGGTTGTAGCGCCACTGATTTTTTTTTATTCTGGGCACCCAGCGTGCTGGCACTGCTAAGCAGTAATCCGCGAAAAAAAACTTTTTCATCATTTGTTCAATCCCTGCCGCACAACAATTTGAGAAATAATTACTGAGATCACTTATTCTAAGCTAAATAAATGTTTTCTTCTTTAGCAGAAAAATTGATTATACGTTCACTGCGGCAAGTAAAATAATAATTTTTCATCAGGTGCGGCGGCGGGCCAAAAATGCGCCCCCAATGATAATTCCGCCGGTGCGTGGCAGGTCTTTCTAAACCCAACAGCACTAGGATAGATTAAATTGCTAGAACTTTGTGGAAACATAATGTATACATTTTTTTTTATATTGTTAGAATGACCTTGAACCCAACTTCCTTAGGTTTGATTCGCCCCGGGATCTGGCAAACAGGAAATGAGAAATAAAGCAGGAAAAGCGGCAGGCCGATATCGACCTGAACCGCACTAGAATATATTTTTAGTAGTGATGGGACAGAGAAATATCGAAAATAAAACAGAATTATCGTAAAGGAACTGAAAAATGTATTTATTTACTTATGTATGCCTGTCTTGGAAACAGAAATACTTTTTATTTTTCTTAGTGGAAAATATTTCTTCACTGCTGTCACTATCACTGTCAATAACTGCAAGGCGAATTACTCTATTTTCCAAAATTTGTATTTTTCTTGTATTGCTTGCCATCGTTGATAATATCGAACGCTATGTTAGATCAGTTAGATAGCACAACACTAACTGGTCGGGCGCGCGCTCTGTGCGGTATCGGGTCGCCAGCTGCCTGTTGGGAGGGCGGGCTGAAATAGGCCCACTGCCGCACTCAGCGGATGCAAAGCAGCGTCAGTGCGTGGTAGGTCGATAAAAGCCTGCCGTTATGTTTAGATGGGGAAAACCTACAATTTTGATCGCAAGATGAAATATATAATTGTCCCTGTCGAATTTTTACCAACACCTGAGATAATCGTTACGCACCAGCGAGAGGGACATAGATTTCTTCGTCCGCACCAGCGGAAATACCGCGGCAGGCTGATATCGGCCTGTTACGCAGTGAACGTGTTATATGTTGATAGCTAATAATACTACAAAAGATAACTGATAACTTCATTACATTATCTACACTGATATTATTATGAGCAAAGATTTGTTTTAATCTATAATGATAATTTGTAGTTACTCTACTACTGAGAATACAACAAATACTCTTTTACACGATGTAATATAGCCAATGGATCAAATATGTTTTTAAACTAAGATATCAGTTTTCGACAATTTAACTTAACTCGTTGAACCTACTGGAGTTACTAAAAAGCCAGAGGATAAACCATATTTTGAAGAACATTCGTAGTAACGCCAGAACCACAGAACACAATACTAGCCTACGCCTCCGTACAGGTACTTTGACATTTTTTTTATGGAACAAGGGCAAACTAAGCGTTGAGTTGCACCAATGGACTTTCTGTCTACCTATGTGCGCATTTAACATTCGATCGAACGGTGAAGGAAAACATCGTAAGGAAATCGTTTTGCTTTACTCTCAAAAAATCGACTGCGTGCGTCAGGCACAGGTGTCTCATCTTGCCTATTAGATTGACAAATCATCAAGCAGATATCTAAGGCTCAGAGCTAAAAAGATTGTAGCGCAACTGATTTTTTTTGTGATAGGAGGCAAACGGGCAGGCTGAAGTTAAGTGATACCGCCGCCGCCCATGGACACTCACATTGCCAGAAGGCTTGCAAGTGCGTTGGCGGTCTTTCTAAGTATTGGTACGCTCTTTTTTGAAGGACCCTAAGTTGAACTGATTCGGAAATACTCCAGTGGGCAGCTGGATTTTTTTCTTACTAAGTAACCGAGAAATTGCGTTTATAAATACTAAAAGTGAGTATTGCCATTGTGTTGGCATGGAATGGCAAGAGGCATTCATATAATATGGACAATGAAACGCATTCTTTTAATTGCTCATTCAGAAATGCCTTTTGTATATTCGTTTTATAACCGTTTATATAAAACTGGGTTTAAACTTTAATAAGAGATAACTTATTTATTAAAAAAACATATGTGTGTACTTATGTACACGCGTTGGAAGTTATACTTATTTGGCGTAACAATTTGATCTTTCGCCTTATTATACGTTTGTAGAAGAAACGACAGTAACAATAGAAAAAAGGTATTTAATACGTTGTTTATTATAACGCATTTATCTAGTTAAATAAAGTTTCTTTAAATATCACAATTTAAAAATGATTTCTACGTAATTAAAGAAATGGACATTTTTATTTTAAAATGTTGACTATGCTAAATTCAGGGAGTCGGTTTTTTGTGACGGTGTGCGCGCGCAAAATTTACTCTAATCATTTTTCCCTAACGCGCCAAAAGAAGTATAACTTCACAAATACAAAATATATCGGACGGGCTTTGCCAAGACTTTCAACCCAAGGGCTTGTATCCGCTAACATCAATAAAGACCTGCGGTTCCGGGCCACTCGAGAGCCCTAAACCACCAGCCAGTCTACCCCAGACCTCTCCCTCAATCGCTCAGCAGCATCTGCAGCATTAAATGCTCACAGAACACCATAGCATTGCAATAGCTAACATAACACACATATGAGTTCAATAAAAATACCTAATACCAATTTGGGGTTTGAATTTTGCCAATTATTGGATTCGCTATAAAAGTTATTAACCAAATGAGATAGTCTTGGAGGATGTAACAAGGTTAAAGATATTACATGCAAAACATCTTTGAATTGTGTTTGATACAGTGCTCGTAGTAATTCAATATTACTGGCACTTCACGAGAAATTAATCTTTATCTCTTTATAATAAGGTGTATTTTACAATGTGCTTCGTTCATACAGCTAGCAAATGAGCAGGCATTTGTCTATAGAATCTGACTTTGTATGAATGTGGCACTGGCTTTGTTATGTAGAGCCTCTTCCGGTAGGATTAATTCAAATGCAAACGTTTACAATAGCAATCAATAAATAAACTCGAATACTGTATGTATAATAATCCAGTGGCGATAATGGTTTCATTTAATTCAACAAGAAATTTGTATGAGAATTACATTATCTCATTGTATGTCACAGCCGCCGTTATTTGGTTAATTTTGTAAAACTTTTGTGTCTTAAACATATGCCAGTATGTCACTGTATGAATCATCGTTAAGGGCCTTATCACACTGGCGATTTGCGAGCGATTTGAAAGGGACGCGGTTGCGCAGCGCCGTCGCGGCGCCTACGCCATTTTGTACACTCGCCCACCCAGCCCCATCTCAGTCAGTTAATCGTAACAAAGACGCGAGTTTGAACGGACGCATCATCAAATAATAGCGTCGTCGTAAGATAATAACTTTAATATCGAGTTATTTATAATTGATATTCAAAATCATCGTGTTATATGGGATCAAACAAAAAAATAATATAACAAAGCCAGAAGAATTGTTTCCTCGTCAGCATCCATTTTGCTACTGAGAGAACAAAACGCGCAAGATACGCCGCGTCCTCGTCGTGGCGTGCACGCTACGCACTCGCGTCGCTTTCAAATCGCTCGCTAATCGTCACTGTAATAAGGCTCTAAATGTAACAAATAGATTGTGATTAAGGTTCTAGAACTAATTTGGGCAAAATCGGCTTTATTTTCAGAGTATGTCATGAGCACAATAGACTTTTCGATAGACTATTCTCGTCCTCTAGGCTTGCGTCGCTTAAACAACTACGACCCGTGAATTGTATACATGCTCCTTCGATGGGGGAAAACATCGTGAGGAAACCAGCAAGTCTAAAATCAACATTCCAAGCAAATTCCTAAAATTCTTGAGTGTGAAACTTCGGAATTGAAACTAAATCATGATCTTGTTCTAAATTTAAATATTATTGTATATTGCCAATTTGTATTATTAGTGAAGTAGCTAAACGAACCATGCGCCATCAAAAGCGTTGCAATTAAAACCGATGTTGCACCGTAGAAAGGAACATTTGTCAATAGAAACGAGTTTCAATAGTCACTTTTGCAGCAAAGCATCTTCCGGTAGACTTATTGGCAAAGCAAACGCTGTTTGTGTTGGAAATATAGCATTCTGTGACAAGTGATTTGAAAGAAAAATAAATAAAACATGTTTATATTGCTTAGTCAATATTTTATATAATGGAATATAATATAACATGTATGCTTAAAATATACATGAATATATGACTTCACAACTTTTACACACATACCTACACATCAAATCTATTAGAACATATATTATTAATAAAAAATATAATTACACCAATTCCAGTCTAGTCTATGAATTAGTTCATAGAAGACAGGAATTGTTAAAAGTTTATTGTTTGCTAAAATCTAAAACAAAATAAACATCACATTTTATTATTGAGAATTTGTTATATTCACATTTTATATACTAAAGTTAGTAATTCTTTTTTGGGAAAGGGATACTCATCCTTAATAAAATCCCAGGGGCTCTTTTTTAATATTTTTTCAGAGGCCTTTTAATAAATTTAAGAAATGTATTAAAGAAAAGCTGTGTAAAAAGGCTTACTATAAAGTTAACGATTATCTAGTTGATAAAAGGGCCTGGGACTAGTGCTAGACAGCCTACTTCTAATTAATTTGCGATATTTGTTATAAGTCAAATTAAGTGTTGTTTGATGAAGGTATTTTAAAAGAGTACCGAGAGTTTTTTACGCTGGTTTTTTGGTCACCCTCTTTTTTTATTTATAAATACATTTTCAGAACTCGGGTCTGTGGCAAGGCAGAATGGTGAAGCGTGGGAAGATTCCTAAGAATGACCTCGGGGAATTTTGGCATTGGAAAGACTTCGACGTTGGGAAAGATATTTGCATTTATGGAAAAGTTTTTCATACAATATCCTGCGACCTTTTTACTAAGGTAAGGTAAACACCAAGTGATATCGACGTTCTTATTTTAAATTTATAAATAACTGAGTAGCTGTAAACCAATATACGAAACACTTGCTCGTACGGAGATGTTATGATACGGTATGTAATAACATCACTATGACTCAGATTGTACCATGAAAAATTGCCAATAATATTGCGTAGTGTGCGGGGACCATATATTGATGAAGATTATTGACAATCTTGCATTGACAATATTATTTTGTGTGTGCGGCTAGCCTTAGGGTGTCTGACTATCTCTTCTGTTGGCCTAGTGGCCAGCGTGTGACTCTCATCTCTGAGGTCGTAGGTTCGATCACCGGCTGTGCACCAATGGACTTTCTATGTGCGCATTTAACATTCACTCGAACGGTGAAGGAAAACATCGTGAGGAAACCGGCTTGCTAACCCAAAAAGTAGACGGCGTGTGTCAGGCACAGGAGGCTGATCACCTACTTGTTTATTAGATTGACAAATGATCATGAAAAAGATACAGAAATCTGAGGCTCAGAACTAATGGTTAAGGCGCCATTTATTTATTTTTGTACTAAGTACCCTAATGCGAAAGAGACTTATAGAATTGTATGTACTTTGATTTGTTGGGACTATATTCCATGGTATGCTGAACCACCCGGTGCTCATGGGTGCCGAAATATTTAATTTTTATTTCTTATTTGAAGTTGCTGAACTATTTGTTCGCATAGATTCTCCAGGTTTATTCTGTGTGTGATGCAACGACAGCTGATGAACACTTTAGTCAAAATAGTACTGATTTTTGAAGTGAAACTTCTTTAGGCGCATGAGGGTAAATTTTTTACGGCTGAAACGCAATAATAATAATATTAGCGTCACGAAGATGTGCAGCGTTTTTGTCGAAGAAAAGGGAGAGAGCGATTTAGACCGATTGAGAGAGAGTGAGAAGAGCGAATTACGTTATGAAAATTATATTTTTAAAATTAAAATTTCGTAAATAGAATTTATGAAATATTAGTATTTTATAAATTATGCAAAATGATTTATTGAAATCTCATGACGAATTGTAAATTAAAATACCACGTGTTTTTATTATCGAAGAAATAAATAGAAAAATTAAATTTATATTTTGTATTAATTTACGACACTTTAAATATTTTAATGACAGTTAAATTCATTAAATACCTAACATATCTTCCTTTTTCCCTCCCTCTAAGTCTCGGAAATCTAAGGTTTTTAATTTGTATAAATATGAACAAGACCTGAAAATTAGTTTGCCTAAGAAGTTTCACTTCTGGTGTACTTTGTACACACGCAATTTTTTTTATATTATAAAGGGTTAGTACATTATAACTCGATTTAACGATGTGTTACAAATCCAGCACCATCCAATAGGTGTAATATAGATTTGTCAAACTTGGCTTGGCGAATGTTCGCGACCGCCCAATCAATCAAACGGTACCAGGTGCTATCGACTGGCAAATCTGAATGTCTTTATATGTCAAGTACTAGATAACTCCACGTGAAAGATTTGTTGATAGAGAATATTTAAATATGTTAATAATAAAGTCTTTTTTATTTCCATTTCCTTAAGTTCAATTTCAAGTGTTGTTATTTATTATTTAGCCTTTGCTGACACCCAGTATAACATATATAAACACTTGTTTAAGTTACATAATCTATCTTAATTGTGCTACTTTAGATGTGCCGGTTTTGGTGATCAGCGTGTCCTGTGACACATAGGCCTCTTCCAGCTGCTTCCATTATTTTCTAATTCTCCTTGTCCATCGTCTAGCCACCTCTTTCTCTGTCTTCTTTTTTTCCTCTTTCTATCTCGTGGTTGCCATTCTGTAATTATTGTCCATTTCAACCTGCTATCTCTCGTCATGTGCCCGGTTTAGTGCCATTTCAATTCCCTTATTTTCTTTATAATGTCCTCTACTTTGGTTGTTAATCTTATGTCTGTTATCATTTACTTATAGCTAAATGTTAGTAGTAATATGTTAGTTGGATAAGGCCTCTTGTGTGAAGGTCTCCTCCAACCCTTTCCATGTATCTTTGCCAATAGTATGTTCCTACAAGGCCAATGCAATGTTAGGGCAATCCAGCCTTTCCGTTATGACCGCCAGCATATTGTTAGATATCCCCCGCATTTGCTTCACACAATACAGCTCGCTTGGGGATCGTGTTGTAAAAACACACCCAAACATTACAGACGAATTACTTAAAAATTTACGTTTACTGCCAGTTCTCAAATCAAAAACGTAGAATATGGCAATACTCCGTCACCTTTTTGAATTGCCAGTAAATTTATTTTACAACATGTTAGCCACCGCACATAGGTGAGACCAAAGAAATGAAGAAAAGAATTAGTAAATAAACATTTAATGTGGGTTAAGTAATCACGAACTCTTTCTGTATGTAGTGACGTGAGAATTAAATACATAATTTATTTAAAACCTTGCCAATATTTGACAACAATTATTATTTATTTATTTATTAACACTTCGTTGCATATACATAAATATAGTACATTGACATAATTAAATAAAAAGGAGAGTAACTGGCGGCCTTATCGCTTTCGAGCGATCTCTTCCAGGCAACCACTGTGAGAAAAGAAAAAAAAAGTATTAAGTTACATAAGGTAGGCAAGAAGTGCAAAAATGTATTGCATATAGTTGTTGAGAAAAAGAAACTAAACAGGTAAAAAAAACAAACTAATAAAGGACTAGGGCATCGAGCCCGGGTTTACCCGGACCGCAAAAACCCGGGTTTTCCCGGTTCTGAGGATTACAAAAAAACCCGGGTTTAATTTTCAAAACTCGGGTTTTTCGGGTTTTTTTTAATACTTTTGTTATTGTTATTTATTAAGTTTAAGCCACTTCGAATGCAATAATAAGTAAATGGAATAAAAAGACGCTTTGATAAATTATTATTTATTACGTAAAAAGTAGCTTCGTTGCTACGTTCCTACCAATAAAACAAGCCTTGCAAGTTAAATTCGCGTTCCGCGCGTCCATCTCGAGACATGGATAGAGTGAAGTGTGAAGCAGTGAAGAGGGGAGGGTGTAGCGAAGCTCGTCGCGCGTTGTGCGAGGTGTTGCCGGTGATGATTTTTTTTAAATAAAAGCTTTAATTGATTTAAAAACAGATATTGTATTTACTGATGATGACTGGAGAAATAAAGATGAGATCCAAAAAATATTGGATGTTATTAAAACTGTCGTCGAGGCGCTATGTCGACGCGATGCAACATTACTTACAGCTGATGTTTCCCTAAAATTTGCATTGAAGAAAATGGATGAAATGAAGACACCACTAAGTAAAAAATTGCAACTGCATTGAGCAAACGATACGCAAAAAAAATACTAACTCAAGCTGCAACACTACAGTACTTGACAAATCCGGGTAAATATTTTGAGAACATTCAAAATGAAGATAAAACTGTTTTTATTGGCCTACAGGTAATGGAATGCTAAACGAAATTGTTAATCTGATTAAACGCACAACCAAAAAACGAAATATACCTCTTGAAAATTTGCCAGCGCCAGACCAAGACCTGCGAGAAATTGACATTCAGTTGTCTACTTTGAAGAGGAACTGAACAGACAGTTAAGTCAAGCTGTTGCTACTGATAATAATGCTCCTGAAACTGGATCAGCTTGTCCATCAGACGATTTGCTTACTACTGTGAGGGTAGAAATAGCACTCTTCGAAAATGGCGGTACGCGACAGCGAGAGCGTTCCTCTCTTTTTTTCTAAAGTGGTCAGATGGTCAGAGGTTATGTCTTAACTATGTTGTTTAAATAATGTGTCAAATGCATAACTACTTTTTACTTAGTATTTTAGTTAATAAAGACCTAATTATTAAGCAAACGACTGCAATTTAAATTATAGTATAATAGAAGACTAGAACTATTCGTTACTTAATTGTAATGCGAAGAAGAGCTTTATTAATATTAAAATTAATTGTGATACTACAAAAATGTCTTTTGAAGATTTTATTTTTATTAGCTGTTAAATACAATAAGTGAATGTTACCAAAATAATTCATTTAATGTTAAAACTAATCTCTGCAAGTCTGTGATTTAAAAAAGACTAGATTACTTACTAAGTTTTAAGATATTCTGGAGAAAAAATAAATCTTTATCACTTTTTTAAACATTAAAACTGTTTTTGTAATTTGTAAAGTACTGTTTCATTTATTTAAATTCTTCCTCATCCTTTATATTTTGTATTCATAGTAGGAAATCGATATATAAACGCAGATTAGTGCATTTAAAAAAAATTCAATAAAAAGACCGAAATGCTCGAAAAAACCGGTCTACCGATTCCGGTCTATGGATAGATTACTTTTTGCGGCCGATGGCTCGTTTCATCAGCTATTTTTAGATTTCCTATGTACAATGCATAGAGAATTGAATAAAGACGAAAGAAATAGTATGAGATTGAAGAGCGAAAATATAAGTGACGTCAAATCTAAAGTGTGTGTGCTAAATTTAAATTCATTCGTCAATGATCATAGTATAGCTGAATGTATGTAAGTCCTTCAAGAAAAGAGCGTAAGTCTTAAAAGGCCGGCATCGCACTTGCGAGCCTTCTGGCAATGTGAGTGTCCATGTATCACTTACTTTTTGTATTACAATTAGCAAATAGGTAGAAATTCAGCTGACGTTAGATGCCACCCATAGACACTAACAATACCAGAAGGTTTACCAGTGGGTTCCAGCCTTTTAGATACGTCGTTTTTCTTGACCCAAAGTCGAATTAGAATATTTTCTCAATTCTAGAATACAAATAGCCATTAAAATATCTGAGTCATGAAATATCTGATGTCTGATCTGATTCATGAAACATTGTTCCTTTACCCATTAACGGCGATGTAATGTGAAAAGAAAGCTCGTAAAATCTTTAATAGCTTTTCGAATAGAGCCTATTGAAGAGGAGGGCTCATGGTAACGTGTTTGTCAAAGGAAGGTATTTTGAGGAGAATATTTGCCGTATATATTATATATTAATCAATGGGTAGGGGGCTCACCTGATTAAGTGATATAGACTATCAATGCCAGAGGTTTCACAAATGCGTTGCCGGCCATTTAAGTATGGATACGTTTACTTGAAGGACCCTCAGTCGAATTGGTTCGGAAAGACTTTTCAGCTGGTTCCACATAGTGGAGCGGTGCGCGGCAAAAACTGCCTTAATTGATATTTAATGTCCGATTTGTGTCCAGTTTGTGTTTCCACCACACCAACTTCATTCTACGTAGTCGGTCCCAAAGTTCTGTCATAAATGGAAATAATGATAAAAACAAAAGTACTGATCAGTTTGTAATGAGTGATATATCAATTCTTAGTACATTAATTAAGGAATAAAAAAGCATAAAAATATTCGAAATAACCTCCCTCATTTTTAATACAGGCCCTTAAGCGTCGCGGCCAGTCGTCTATCGCAGCACGCACCATATTCGTGTCGATTTCAGTCACTGGTTTTTTTAAAGATGACTTCAGATTCTCCAAATTTTCATGAGGTTTATCACAGACCTTCCTCTCTAAGCCCTGTCATAATTTCTGGTCCAAAGGATTAAGGTCCGGACTGGAGGAAGGCCAATCCTCATGTCTAATTAAGACGATGTTTTGACGCTCAAACCAGGCTTTAGTGGTCTTGGCTTTGTATTCAGACGCAGAGTCCTGCTGGAACACGAAGTGATGTCCCGCAAATAGGGTGCTGGACATGTCTTTGACAAGGCGATACAAAACCGTCTCTTGGTACACTGTAGCACTGGTTTTGACCCCCTTTTCGAAAAAAATTAACCTCAGTTAGCCCGTAATAGGACACTCCCAACCAAACCATTACTGATGATGGATGATGTCCATGTTGCACCCTTGGAACTTTATTTTCAGCTTCTTCAGAACTCCTAGCGTACACTGTATAATTCTGTTTATTGTACTTCTCTTCAATATCGAAAAATTTTTCGTCCGTAAAGAGGGATATCACGGTGTCGGTTTTTCGCGTACCGCTTAAACAACACCCGCGATCTCTTAAGCCTTATTGCTTTTAGACGAGCATTAAGTAAGTGCCCACTCTTTTTTGTATGCTCGTAGACCAAGATCTTCATTTAAAACCTTTTTTACTGTTTTCCTACTGACACCCATCTGCAAATCCATCAACTTCTGTTTTCGGACAGGATTTCTTACTATCCGCGCCTTGATAGCTTTGATTACTGCTGGTGTTCTTGCGGAGCGTGGCCAGCCAGTTCTTTTCTTGTCCTCAACACTGGAGACTTCAAGGTACCTATCAATAGTACCGTACACAAACCTAAGCGTTATATTCAAATTTTTGAGCAACTTGAAAATGGTACTCGGCGAGTGTCCACAGCGGTGCAACGCAATAACAACTATTCGGTTTACTTTCAATGTCCACTCCATCGTGAAAAATTACGGAAAGTTATTGTTTTTGTTTTAAAACAATAATCAAACATTCCAAAATAGAATGCAATAATTTTTTTATAAAATCCTGCTCGAAATGTAGAAATAATGTGCTAGTGACAGAACTTTGGGACCAACTACGTATTTAAGATCATGTATATAATAAATAAATAAAAATAAAATTTGTTAACGTCTGATTTCAGGTTATTTGTTTTTTTAATTTAAAGATTATTTGTTGAATGGAAGTGTCATATGTGTAAAGTTTATATTTAAATAATAAATATATTATAAAAACTTTATTAATGACAGGAATGGGTGATAAATTTCATCTATCGCTAGTCCCTACAGAGAGCCCGTGTTGTGGGTAACTAGACAACAATTATTCCGTGGTACATGTTTAAAACACTTAAAAAAAAGTAATTTTAGTGTTACAACTACGTTATTATTTTGTAGAAATTTGCGGGTTGTTCTTGCCATATTTATAATTATTATTATTTATTGTTTCGAGGGCATTGAACTCCATTCCACTAACACAGCCCTCGGTCTACCCCTATTTATCCCTGAGTTTTGGGTAATTAGATAACAATTATTCCGTGGTCCATGATACATGTTTAAAACAGTTTTTTTATTTATGAAAAAGTAGTTTTGGTGTTACAAATAATCAAACACAGGTCATATAAGACATTGAGTATGCGTGAATGTGTGAGTAGGTGGGTTTGTGTATGTATTTGAGAGTGAATATTTCTCATCGTACATTTCGTGGCATATTTGTACTAGCAGCAAAAAATTGTATAAGCCCTCAAGTCTTTAATAACGCTTAGGGTCGGTCTAATACAATTTAAGCGACCTCAAAAAATACTTGCATGAACGCATGCATCACGAATGAATAATCTTTAGATATATAGTAGCAAACTATTCAAAGGAAACGGTAGGAGAACACCAGTCATGGGGACCACCATGCTTTTTGGTGGTTATGCCATTAAATTGTAGCTTATGTGAAACGTTGGTACTTTCAACACAGCGCCATCTGTTAGAATTGTGACTATCAAATAATAAACAAATATTTTGCAATAAAATAATAGCGGGCATAAATTGAGATGTATGCTATCCTATCTTTTAAGTTGGATCAAACTACACACGATGTGCAAATTTGATTGATATCGGTTCGGTAGATTAGGAGTCCATAGCGGACAAACAACGTGACACGTAATTTATATATATAAAGATTAATTAATCATATATACTTATCTGGTGGTGCCTGAAGACAAAAAGATGGTCCTAAAGACACGTGGTCTTTACGGAAGTACAATTGCCATCATATCAGAGAATTAATTTAATTTATTACGGTGTATTGAACTCGATACAAGACTGGTCACGGTCAGTCATCAGAAAAGCAAAATTGATTGCATTTAATTTGTGATACATGTAGAAAAAGCAAAACTTTATGACAAAATTTATCATCTATTTTGTTTATATATGAAATATGTAGGACCCCACAGACGTTGTCCTGCATGATATTTAAAGCGATTAGGATATTAAGCAAAGTATGAAAGTACCGACTGCAGTGCCATCTGCCGGGCTGATTTGTGAATCTAAACCATTCCCAGATCCCCTTGAACACACACAAAAAATTTCATCAAAATCGGTCCAGTCGTTTGAGAGAAGTTCAGTCACATACACACGCACACAAGAAATATATATGAAATATGTAGGATTTCAATTAATTTAAATTTAGGTAATATACGTAATGTAGGAAAAATATTCGTTAAAGCGATGACGCAATAACTCGAAGGTCAAGACAGTTTTGTAGATAAATATTGACATTGAATTTGTTTTTATCGTAAATTTCTGAGACTATTCGGACAAAAAAGTAATGCCCAACGCATGAAAATACTAAGATACATGGTTTTGTGTTATAATATACTTACTTTAAGGCAATTTAAAAGCACACACAGATAGATAGCTGTATCGTGTAACGGTTTATTTGAGTTTATTCTCATCTCTTTCTATCACGTTGTGTTTACGCTTCGATAAAGAGAGACAGTCAGTATTCTGTTCGATGTGGGAAGCGAAATAATCAACAGTTGTGTAAATACATTTAATAACTTAAAATAAATGCTAAAGCTGGATACATACTGGTAATTAAAAGGCGCTTAAATAGTGTGACGCCACCGTAACTCCCATATACAAAGTAATCATCATGGGAACGCCAAAAGCAATGCCTCGCGCTGGTTGTGGTAAGGGTGTTACAGCATAGACAATTGTATGTAGGATACGTCCCGCAGTATATACTCTAAATAATGTTATAGCTGTGGCCGCAGACGGTCCAGTTGTCAGGTACAACCCGCCGAGCACCCAGAAAAGGGGAATATTCTCAAGGTCGTTCAAATGCGCGCGTCTCACTCTCTCCACATCTTCGTCGTCAAATTTAACAACCGCCGATTTCTTTGCAGCCGCGTCCTCGGGATTCGCGAACACCTTCTTCTTCATCCTCTGTCTGGCTGTCAGAAATGCCATAGACAACACTTTTAATCCTAAAACACCTGAGTAGAATAGGAACGACCGCACGGCCGGCTCGGTTATTGACACGGGAACCATTTTGACTAACGTTTGTAACGCGGGACGTCGTTGGAATGATCTCAGACGCTTGGCGCTTAGTTTAATATAGATATGGGTGTGTTTGTGCAAGTCATGCTGATGTAACACGATGGTGTTATTATTTTTATTCTACTTTGTTATGGAAGTAGAGACTTACCACGTTTAATGATGCACTGTATACGTTTTTATTGAAAATTAATGGTTTAAACACTTTATATGCACTGTGGTTTTTTATTATACTTTAACGTGATAAAATAAATGAAGAACTGCGCGTCATGTGCCCGGGAATGTCTATGTACGTGTGTTTGAAAGTAGTCCTGATTGCTGATACTAAAAAAAATAGCTTTAGAAAACGCTTTTGTGTTGAACTATGAACAGCCATTGTACCGGTTTTTTTCCATATTGATATTTTCTTTCTATTCTATTTCTTTTGTTAGTTTTAGGTATACGAAGGTGTCCTTATTTTTAATACATATTTCTCTTGTAATAATGATTACTGTGTAAGCTGTTTGTGTACGAAAATACTTAAAAAACCTTTTTATTAATTAATGAAGTTTTTCGTTGATTTTAAAAAACCTTGTGATTATTTATAGATTTTAAATCGGATTACAAAATTCAATGACGTAAGAAGAGGTAAATACCTACTTTGTTTTGTATATCGCGATTAACTGCAAAGTTTAAAAAGTAGTTGTAAGCATGACTTTGATTTTAAAAGATACACACAGACTATTAAAAAATATTTTATTTTTATTAAAAAAAATTATATCATATAAAATAACAAAACTTGTAGTCCCATGTAGAAGTTGATCCCCATTGCGATCAAGAAGACGATGGCTCTGGTGGGTTGTGGGAAGGGCACCACAGCGTATACGAAAGTATGTACAATACGGCACACCGTGAAAAGTCTAAACAGTAAATTCGCAAAGGCAGCTGATGGTCCAGTCGTCAAATAACACGCACCAATTACCCAAAAAGCCGGTATGTTCTCCAGATCATTCAAATGGGCGCGGCGTACTCGCTCGACGGATGGATGGTCCAACTTCACTTTACCGCCTAGGAACTTGGCGTCTTCGGGGTTCGCAAAGCATTTGTATGTTAGCCGCATTATAGCGGTCAATGGACTCATAGCCAGTAGCTTCACGGCCAATATGGCCGAGTGGAGGATAAACGCCTGCACGGCGGGGTCCGATATTGAGAGGTTCATTTTGTTCGCGCACAACCGTTTAGTTAGTACTTTACAATGTGAATGACGCGAAGTGCGACTCGACTTGCATTAACATTCATTACCTCGGTGAATATTAATTGTTTTTGTAAACGGGTTTGGATTTTGGGTGAAATGTACATTATATAAATAATTTCCAACATTTGGCTTCGCAATGCAAAAGTATTGATGATTATACAACGTCAAAATAAACGTTATGGCATTTTTTTATAATTCAAGTCAAAGTCAAAAATTATTTATTCATATAGGTAACACAATGTACACTTATGAACGTCAAAAAAGAAATTTACATTAAATGCTTCTAATTTTACATTTATTGTCAGTTCTCAAATCAAGGACGTAGAACGGAAGAGAAGAACTGCCAATAAACTCTCCGCCACTCTTTTTAATCGCCAAGTTTTTTTTAATTAATCCTTTTTACTAAAAAGGATATTTAACATTGTCTTACCTAAATGAATAAATGATTTTTAATTTGAATGTAATTTCTTGTGTACTATTTAAGTGATAATTATGTAAACAAGTTCAGGTATAACCAGAAATCGTGTACACAAGAATATTTAATATATTTTGACATTTTAAGTATATTTTGAAGGAATAAATATTGGACATAGGTATTCGAATAAATTCACAATATACGAGGCCATTTTATCAATAGCATTGATAAGTTATCATTTTTGTTACGTAATCGTATTCGTGTACAAACAGGAAAGGTATATATAATAGGTAAATAACGACTGTGATGTTTAGTATAATTATGAAAATTAATGGCTTTGTGTGAGAGTCAAAATGTAATTATATTTTTATATAGTCGCTTGGTCTTTGGAGTGATGTTTATTTTCAAACAGAACTGGCCACAATCTAACCCAAACTTTTTTTGGCCCATGCCCCTTAGCCTTTTAAAATTCTTATGTAACGTAGATATTTTTTTTTTATAAAAGCTTGCCAATGCTCGGCACACTGATACATTGGTAAAACAACCACAAAATACAATTTTTAATGTGACAAGCACTTAAAGGCAAACATAACATACATGTAGAGATCATACAAATATTAATCAAAACAATTATTAAAAAAAAACTTTTACTATACAACTATGGATATCCAGTCCTAGCTCAATATTTAAGTTAAAAAAAAATCAATTGTTCACATAGGTTTTAGGAAGATAGGAAATTGTTAACAAAACAGGAAGTAAAATTACAAAACATGATGAAATTTTTTGAACTGAAATTCAAATTCCAATAATTGCATAGCCCCCTGTGGGTCGTGGGTCACACCCACACACACCAACACTGATCTAACCTGATGTGAGATGCGGTCTATCGAAGGGCAGGATTTGATATTAGCCGCCGCTATGATCCCATATTTAGGGAAGATTGAAAGGAGTTTCACTCTCTTGTTGTCTTACATACATGACAGTCGTGTATGGCACTTGGGGATGTCAACAACGAAAGGGAGAAACTCCAGCGTCCTTTTAGACGGGCGTTGTGTGAATGGGGATGACGGAATCAAGTTGTTGTTCCATGGATCATAGCTGCAAAAATTTAAATTATGTTTAGTGCTTAATTGACGTTATTATATACACCCATAGTCTACACACAAGACACGCCTTTGTTGCAATATTATCTGCCCCTGCGAACTTCATTTCGCCTTATGATTGTTTTACTACCTTTTTAGTAGCTACATACCAATATGGAATATTTATGCTGGTTCCATAAAACCTCAGAGTTCAAGAAATAAATAAATAAAAAATACTGGAATTGGTCCAGTCGTCTTGTGCTTAGCAACATATTTTGCGATTCATTTTTATTTAAATTACCATATAATTTACGGCTGGCATACATTTGTATTTACTTAAAAGGATAATTTTAGTTTCTGAATTGTATATAATAAACAGCAGTGTGGCTTAAAAGACTACTGCTTAGGTGGTTTGGCCATGTAGAACGGACGAATGAGAAGCAGTTAACAAGTAGGATATACCTGGACCAAATCCAGGAAGTACTAAAGACGTTAAAGTAGAAATAAGACGAGCATGCATGGTGAATGTCATGAAAGTGGATGAAGCGAGAGAGGTAGGGAATGTAGCAAGTGGAGATCCGTGGTCTCTACCTACCCTTTCGGGATAAAAGCGTGATGATATAAATTAAATATAAAAGAAACAATTTTGTTTTTACAATAATATAATAATATTTCAATTAGGTTTGGACTTTCGACAGCAATAAAATTACACTACTATGCATTATTGTCGAGGCATTGTTGTAAATAGGTTTTTATGTAAATTTACTAACATACGTATATAGTAATAATACGTATAGTTGCAAGTCTTTGTACACAAAATTCTCTGCGCGCGGGTTGAGGATTAGATAATAATATATAAACTAAATTTTTTTCATCTCGTTTAAGTTTTGAAACGCCTGATAATATAGTTGTAGCAAATTCGCGTGAAACAGTTTTGTCAAATATATTTCGTTTGGAGATAATAATTCCTTATTTGTAGTGGGTTGTAGAGAACTGACCGGATGGTTTATTTTGGCCGTAGATATTCCTTAACCTCGAATCAGGGCCTGCTAATCCTAACTAGAGATTCGGTATTAAGAGCTAGCCAAATATGAATAAAGTGACCTAGATCAAAAACATTTATTGGTAAGAGCAAAAGTTTACGTAGAACTAAATATATCACATTTATCGAGAATTTAATAATGTAAACAGATTGAAAAATAGAAATATCAAAATAAATCGCCCCCGGGTGGGCTCGAACCACCAACCTTTCGGTTAACAGCCGAACGCGCTAGCCAATTGCGCCACGGAGGCATATGTGTCGGTGCTAAAAATAAAAAACGAAACATCTAACTCTATTATCTGTAACTAATAAAACAAAAGACGAGAGACAAAAACATTTATTTTATAATTATTCGTCCTCCCTTTTTGTTTATCACTATTTAAGATGATGAAAACTAATTGGGGCCCGCGAATGCGACTGTTTTACGTTCAGTTTCGCAGTCTTTTGGAAGGAAAGGCTAAATTAGCTTCTAAGAAGCATGGTTCAAATTCGGCCCCACATAGAGTAGAGCTTCCTGTCCGTTTGCCTTCTATTACATAAAAAACCCAAATACAAATTTAGTGTTTTACGAAAAATATGTAAAATCAATTAGCTATCATAATAGAAATGATAGAACCTTTATGGTAATTTAAGCTATTCTTGCGTATTTTTGAAGTTATACTTCTTTAGGCGCGTTATGAAAAATTTATGATAGTGAAATTTTACAATGCGCGCGCACCCGTGACACAAAATTAGGAGTGTGATTATAGCGTGCGCGAGCGAGATAGGAATAAGACAATCTACAAGTAAAAAGAAATAGAATATGCGTGAAGTTCGTATGCCAACAATTTTGAATGACCATAATGACATTTGTCATTTACCTTTTAAACAAATAAAGGAGTTTTAATTATTTTTTCAAAGAAATTTAGCGATGCTTTTTGAATTATAATCAGAAGTGATTTAAATTGAATATTTAAACCAATACTAATTAATATTTGTGAAAAAACTGTGCTCATCAACCTTCCTAAGTGCTTCAATACAATTGAGGTTAACTATCCGTATGTATTATTATTATTATCGAGTAATGTTTTGATTAAAAAATTAACCACATTGTTTAATCAAAACATGTAATTTTTCTGATTTTATCTAGCAAATATAAGGAAAAGAGACAAAAAACAATTGATGAATCAGTGTAACTGCACTAAATTGAATACAAAAAAAGAGTTTTCATCTTATCGCTGTGAAACATCAAAAACTGGAGGTGGAACAAAGCCAAACTATTTTTAATATTGCCAAAGAAGTATAACTTCTTACGCGCGTACATAACTACACGGACCCTTTTTTTTTTAAATTATGTGTGAAACTAAGATTCTAACTGAAATTTTTGTTAATTTTCATACGTCATTGATTTAAGACCGTACGAGCTAGTGAAGTGATAGATTTTGTAATAGAAACCCAAGCTTTATAGACCCTGACTGTCACTTAAACTGAACTTAGCTTTTAATAATTTACGTGCGCAGGAGTGGCTAGAATCTCAGGGCATCGAGTTATCTAAAGAAGAGAGTCTGCCCGATGACCCGTATAAGAAGAAGGAGAGATGGAAGTCGGTGGCGCCACCGCAGCGTGCGCAGGCGCATAATGATGCTTTGCGAAGGTTTTTGGAGTACGAAGGGAAAGTGCTTGCGTGAGTTTTTACTACAACTATTAGACCTAAGGTTATTACTAATATAAATCATTTAATGGACAAACCCAGCCTAATTGACGACTCATTGGTCTAGTGGTTAGTACCCCTGACTGCAAATCCATGGGTCCCGGGTTCGATCCCCGGCTGAGACGAACATCGATGTGATGAGCATTTGGTGTTGTGCTTAGGTCTTGGGTGTTTAAATATGTATTTATACGTCTATCTATCTATAATATGTATGTATATCCGTTGCCTAGTACCCATAACACAAGCTTCACCAGCTTAGCATGGAACTAGGTCAATTGGTGTGAATTGTCTTTAAAAAATATATATATATAAGTTTTGATATACTAATTTTTAATCATAATCAGACATTTGCATGCTACTTCAATATGGCTGATGGGTTTTTTCATCCATCATAATTCATAGCGTACAAATGTACTAAAAGAAGCGCTTCTGCGCAGGCAAGGACATTTGTTCAAGATGTTTGCCGGTATCTGTATGTTGTTCTAAACGATGTCGTCGTAAACGGTTTTGACTGTATTATGTTTTTAGTTTAATTTTTATATTTGTAAGTTTTTTATAGTTAGTATTAAGTTACTGTAAAGTAGGAAATGAGGAAATAAATAAATATGAACTATGTATATAAATAATTAAGGATTTATTTAAGATACTTTACACTAGAGATGTTATGGATATGATATTTCGGATCTGGATACGGTTATGGATATTCGAATAAAATTATATCGGTTTCGGATACGGTGACGGTTACTAGATTGAAGTAAAATATAAACACAAATAGTACGTAAGAATTTGGTTTATATTTAAGTTATCAGTTGGTATTATAATCGGTCATATAGTTAGTATAGTATAGTTTTATCTATTAAAATAAAAATGCAATAAATTTAAGAGTTGTAATGAAATCATCAACCTGTCGAAATATGTCGTTTTATTTAGAGTTCGCAATTATACGAAACTATCCTAAACTTGTGAAACGGATACGGTTACGGATATATTTTTATTTCGGATATCCGATAGTTTCGGTTACGGTTACAGAGCTCCATAACATCCCTACTTTACACGGACTCTCAGGTTGAAAAATAACAATAACCAATGCGCCGTGAGCTAGTAATGTATAATTTATAACAGACAGAAACCCAGTGAATCACAGACATGTAATACAATTATATACAACGTGACCTGACAAACCTAATCAACTGGCTCTGGGGAGATCGTAGTGACGTAATTGTTACCTCTTGACAAAGTTAAATTGGTGTTGCCAGTTTTAAATTAAATTGCCTTAATTATGCATTTATTAACACGTTCTCCATGGCTGTGGCAGTGAGCTGACGACCTGAGGGTCGGACTGTTTTGACTGGCGTAGGTCTGTCGGTGATGAGACCCCAATGGCCTATTTTTTATGGAATCTCACTGTTGGCCTGAAGGTTCTTGACAGCTCAGCTCGGGCTGTTTCAACGAGCGTAGCTCTGCCGGGATTAAGACCCTAATGGCTATTTTTTATGGTTTTTTATGGAATCTCACTGTTGGCCTGAAGGTTCTTGACAGCTCAGCTCGGGCTGTTTCAACGAGCGTAGCTCTGCCGGGATTAAGACCCTAATGGCTATTTTTTATGTTTTTTTATGAATCTCACTGTTGGCGTGAAGGTTCTTGACAGCTCAGCTCGGGCTGTTTCGACGAGCGTAGCTCTGCCGGGATTAAGATCCTAATGGCTATTTTTTATGTTTTTTTATGAATCTCACTGTTGGCCTGAAAGTTCTTGACAGCTCAGCTCGGGCTGTTTCAACGAGCGTAGCTTTGCCGGGATTAAGACCCTATGGCTATTTTGTTTAATGAAAACTCCTTGGCCTGAAGGTTCCTGACAGTTCAGCTCAGAGACATTTCGTGTACTCGTTCTACCGAAACAACAGTCATAGGAACGGATGTTGAAATATTGATTGTATTTAGATTGGGTTTTAAGTGTTAAATAGCCATCATTAGTGTTAAATACCATAGTCATCATTATTATTAAATGTAATTTATTAATAATGATGACTATGGTAATACTAATACTAACGACGATTAAATAGTCGTTTATTTGTAGATCTATTAATATTGGCAAATTGATTAAACCACAAGTTTTTAATGATTTAAACTATTTTTTTTAGTTTTTATTTGTGCTCATCACACTAAAATAAGTATGTACAATCATATACTTAAATTTAAATTTATGATCAAGATGTCTTGGGGTTTTTTTAGGTGGTACATTAAACAAGTAATATCTATCTATATCTATATATAAGTCCGATTCTATACAATTTCTATTAAGTCTAGAACGGTTAGAACCCAACCTAAGGCTATAACTGAAATATCAAAATGCTATAATACACCAAGATAGAAGAACAAAGAAGAAAAAGAAAAAACTTCATTATACACAATATACAGGGTGTTTACATTAGGTAAAGTGCACTAGCCCCCACACTTGGATTCCCTGTGTTGTGGGCAGCCAGAAAGAAAGATTAGTCATTAGAATAATAGATAGATTGAATTTATTCTTTACGCATATTTGAGACAAACAACAAAATCTTTAGGGGTTTTTTTGTTTTGTGGGCATTTAAAAAAAAGCATTGTTAAGTGCCTGTTTGATACCTAATCCGCTGTTTTGCTAGTATTATTTGTATCATTTATGTTTACCATAATCTAATATATAAAATTCTCGTGTCACAATGTTCGTTCCCATACTCCTCCGAAACGGCTCGACCGATTCTTATCAATTTTTTTATGCATATTCAGTAAGTCTGAGAATCGGCTACTATATATCTTTCAAAGCCCTAAATGTTTACGGTGGTCCACCCTAAATTTTTATTTTTATATTTTAGGCAAAAAAAAAAAAAAAAAAAATTTTTTATGATACAGCATACAAAAATACATACAACCCTTAATTTTTATCTACCCTCTACGATCAAACCCTATTTTTTATTATAGTAGATATTTTTAAAATGTTTCCTAGAAATAATAAATATGGCAAAAGGACGTTTGCCGGGTCAGCTAGTTATTATATATTTTAGAAAAGATAGCTTGTAACATATACTATATAGCATTATATACATGTTATACAATATTTTTATCTGGTTATCCTATATCCCAGCTACCTTCAGTACCGTCGATCTGAACCCCTTGACGGGTAAAGGCCTCCAGCTTTTTCCAACTGACTCTGTCTATGGCTCTCTTTCTCTATTCGTTTTCTGCTATTCTATTTCTTCTACCCATCTTTTTTTAGGCGACCTCTTCTCCTTCTTGCTCTTTGTCCTTTCCATTCAGTCTTTAAAGTCCACTATGTGTTATATATGATATGGTGAAACAAAAATTAATTTTAAATAAATGTTTCAGGTTCAATGTGGCGTGGGACAATAGAGATTCTGCATTCGGGGAACTGGTAGAATATAAAATGATGTATTTTTTGCAAGACGACACCATTGCGATTAAGGTATATATTATCTAATATATAAAATTCTCGAGTCGCGGTGTTTGTGGTTAAACTCCTCCGAAACGGCTCGACCGATTCTCATGAAATTTTGTATGCATATTGGGTTTGTTTGAGAATCGGACAACATCTATTTTTCATCCCCCTATATGTTAAGGGTAGTCCACCCCTAATTTTTTTTTTAAAGTTAGATAAAAATTTTAAACCCCTAATTTTCACCCCTCTACGATCAACCCCTATTTTTTATTATAAATGATATAATGGCAAAACGACGTTTGCCGGATCAGCTAGTCTAATATATAAAATTCTCGTGTAACAATGTTTGTTCCCATACTCCTCCGAAACGGCTCGATATTTTTACTGCTGGAGACATTGTTCCGTCATCAATAACAATTTCATAATTGATTTAATAATTATATTTTTTAATATCTTTTTTATCATTTATTGTTCTGGTATTATTTATTTGTAATGTTATCCTTTAAATGCTGTGCACACTGACTGACTTTTTTGTGTGTCGTGTGTTCTCTGTATGTGTTTCATTAGTATGCCTTTTTAAATTATTTAAACCGTTGTTATTTTTATTTATTACTAGTCAACAACTGCGCCCGTGGTCTGTGGTGTTTGGCAAGGTTTTGGCTATCGTTAAATTATTTTACATTATTCCCTTTAAATGATGTGCACACTGATGCATGTGTTATTTGTATGTCGTGTGTTCTCTGTATGTGTTTCGTTAGTGTGCCTTTTAAAGTAAATATCTAGAATTATGTATAAACATAATTTAAGGCACGTCGCTAGTATATACAAAATAATTGATAATTAAATGCCCCTCAAACATTCAAAGTTCCAATTACATGATAATCCTATTATGTCTAAAAGCCCCTAATTGGTGATGTTTTCATAGCCATTAAATTTTGCACGGGTTTGATGGGTAAGCAAACTTTGTATAGAACAGTATGTATACCACGTTTTGATGTGACCAATAATTTCCTCAAGCCTCTCCTGGCTTCTGATAAAATAAAATAATTTCAGAAATACAGCCTCTTAAAATGCAGCTTAATTTCTAAACAATAATAATATTAATTGATTTTCTCCAATATAACATTTACAACAAATTATAAGATTGCAGTTGAGAAGGTATTGGGAGACTGGTTTCCAAACTAGGTAAGGAACCATATCGATAACCAGGCTTCCGTTCCACAGCAAAGTCATATTGAGTGGTAACGAAAAGTACATATATAGATATATATATGGGTAGGCAAACAAATTTAACGTTTTAAATAAGGAAAGAAAAACAAAACAGTCAACTAGTTAGAAGTTAGTAGAAATAAAGTTGTATGGGTGTATGAGAAGGTGTGTGTGTGTGTGTGATAGAGGGAGAGGGTATGTACGGGTGTGTGAGTGAGTATTAGGAATGAAAGCAGGAATCTTACCATGTAAATGCTTTGTCAATTGGCTTAAAATTATTGTATTAGATACTTGGAATCCTGACGACTATTTCTATACTGTCTTACTTGAAATTCCGTAGTAAAAACTAAATTAAAATATCTAACTTTAGTGGTAAGCTTACAGCGAACTATCGACGTGGTCAATTTCTTTGTTGTTTTTATAGGTTAATTTTGTTTAAAAAAACACATGGTATGACTTTGACAAATAAATTCAAAACTCTCGTTAAACGTAAATTAATCAATAGAGATTTTTATAAATTTGACGATTATTTAAATGATCTTAATCCTTGAGATTGCTCCAGTTCAAACAATTTGTTTGACTCAAAACTTTGCGATTAAAAAGAGGAGCGGAGGGTTTCTTGCCAGTTCTTCTCGCCCGCTCTACGCCCTTGGTAAATGTAAAGAATCCATTTATCATCTTTTCTGTTGATATATGTTCAAAATGTACTTGGTTACCTAGTTATTGTGAGTTTGAAATAATGTTATCAACTAGAATATTACCACTACCACAATTAGGCCACAGAACATTATAATTCAAATTCAAATTCAAAAATCATTTATTCACGTAGGTAACACAATGTACACTTGTGATTCGTCATTAAAGACCATTACACCATGTTCCACATGACATTTTGTCACTATGACGTCACACCCTGAAACAGACTAACATAGAATTTCCCGCTAAGTATATACACAACTTCCTAACCTTAGCTGCTGAGACCTTCAGGCCTGTGAGTAGTATTATTCCACATTTCAAGGATCGTCATGCTCGCTTAAATGTCGGGAGAAATTCCGACTAGTAAACAACTTCTCTTTTGATATATGTTTGTGAAATACTAAAAGAATCTACTTGGTCTCACAATGAATTAATGATTGAAAAACTCGACTGAAAAAAAAAATATTTGGAAAATAATTTGGGGCTATGGGGGGGGGACTCTACTCCTTTGTTGCCCCGAGGCCTCCAGACCTCTAAACGCGGCCCTGAATATGCTATTGAAAGCTTAGTAGAGTCTACTTCACAGGAACTTCACGACGAAAGAGGTGGAAAGGATCCGTTTCCTCTACTCTTGAAGAAGAGGAAAGTACCGAAGAAGTGGAAAGAAAGGCCAGGTAAATAAAGCAGAATTCTTTCGTATCCTTCGCGATTATAAGGGATTACACAGTACTTATCCGGAGCTGGATATATTCCTAGTGGGCTGATCGATTATAAAGAAAGTATTTTCAATTGGGTATCTCATACCTTATCCGCTGTTTTGTTGGTAACTTTTATTTTCTAACTGCAACAGTATTTTTATTTTTAGTTTTTTTGTCATATTTATGTTCACCAAAATTCACATATATTTTAGATAAAAAAGCTTGTAATATATACCGTTCATATGTGGTAAACTCCAATAAATAAATAATAATAATAGTTTGTTTTGTGGCGGTAATCTACTAGGTTTTGGAGGCTGTAAGCGCAATGGTAAATACAATATTAAAGTTTGAACGCGCTTCTTAAGCTGGGTATCGATTACGCGCTCCTGGCGCGCGCGCCATGAATGACCGCACCGAGAGTGCGTTGCGTGAAACGCGTTCCAAATATTTGAAGTATATCAACTAAGCGCGCCTGGCGCGCGTGGCAACTGTTCCAGTGTTCGACCCTTCATCATGGAAGCCAGTCAGCAGCAGCTTTTGTAATTATTCACAGTATTATAAACAAGAAAAGCCAGAGCCAGTGATTTGGCTTTTAGATACTCTCAATTTTTCTCTTCTGTACGATGATAGGAGCACAGTCATTTTTTTCTTTAATTCCGGCATAGGGACTCCCATTTCACTACTGATTTCTCTCCAAGCATCTTCTCTAAGCGATTTATTATGATACGAAGAACTTTTGCTATTCCACAGTAGTTCTTTTGTACCATACAGTTGTATTAATTTACGGCAACTTTGGTTATCCATAATTGGGAGCGCAACAAAAACAAAAAAATACGATATATCCGTCCCAACTGGCGCGCGCGCCACGATTGATGCGTGGTAAAAAACCGACACCCGTCGGAACGGACCGCTCCGCGTTCGGGCGCTCCAACGAACACATTGGCGCGCGTTCCAAAGTGGTATCCATTGCGCGCGGCTGGAGCGCGCGCCAATGTTCGCCCTCTTGGAGCGCGTAGTCGATACGCGGCTTTAGGAAGTACACAATTCGTTGAAAAATATACCTTTAAAATATTGTTGCACGCGGTAATAAACGAAAAACTTGTTTAATAAACAATGATTAGTTAATATTTATTACACTTAAAATTTCAGTCACTAGTTTATGAACAAATTACATTCATGTACCAGAATAAATTGGAATACGAATTGGTTCGTTAAAATTTCAGCGAGCACTATCAGTACTGGGAATCCATTTTTTAAACTGTATTTAGGTGTATATATGTATATGTTTGGGTGTAATGGTGATACGTATCCTACTGTGTAACTGTAATGAAATCAATGTTAATAATTTTTAAATCATTTAATTTTGTGGCGATACCTACAGTCTATGCCTACGAATTACAATAAACCCCCTTATAACACGGTACTCTTATAACGCATTTTCATGTTACGCTAATTCAGTCCCTCGTATAACGCGGAGATTACACACGTTGTATTTCTGTAGTGTGACATTTATGATAATTTGTAGGCAAATATTTCGCTCATAACATAGTTTCTTCTTCATGTTTGATTTAGAGACCGATAGATTGCCCCTATTTGCTGTCGTTAATTTCTCTAAGAATCCTTCTACCATATGCGACAAGATACTTACAATTGTTCCATGTGCCTCGTACGAACACGAATTACCTGCGTAATTCGCCAATGTGTCGGGTTTTAGCTAGCTATGACACTAATAATGATGATGTTGATATTTTCCACCTCATCAGAGAGGATGTAAGGAAATATTCGAAGACGCAGGAAGACTTTTTGACTTTTTTCTTTGAAATATTAAGTATTAATTGTCGATTGATTAATGTTAAAATTCAGCTTTTATTTATTTCTTTTCTCTTGCCTATTAATGTACTTGCATATGTTTTCTGTTTTATAATAGTATGTTAGATATAAGATTACTATTAAATATATAAAATAAATCCCCACTAACGAGAAAAGTTATACATGAATCATTTGTACATAACACGTTATATGGATTCAAACAAGCGCGCTATGCGAGAATACTTATACAGCGCGTTTCCTATAACGCGGAATCTACCGTGTTATGGGACGGATTACTGTACTATGATGACATCAAACGCGCTAGCGAAGTTATTATGCTAAAGAGTAAAGATAAAGATATATATATATATTCATATATTATGTCGGAGAAATATCGTCACTGCATCGATATTGACATCGTCATTAGCGGGCTTAGTGGGCGTTATGTGGGTAAGGTGTGACAAAAGACACGAATAACTATCGTAAAATTTAGATTGATTTTATTTATACTACAAATAACACTTTAGCTTAAATTATAACAATAAACATCGACGGGTAATTGACTCGATCGGAACATTTTCTGATAATCCCAGCATTCCCTGACATGTACACCTTGTCGATAAACCACTGGGACATTTGGGCCAGTCAGTGGTTTATCCTTCCTTTAGGTTGAAGGAACAGTGCATCATCATTCCTCCACAGGTTTTTAAAGTAATTGGAAACTGACGACTTCGTGTTGAGACTTCAAAAAAGGAGGTTTCTCAATTAGGCCGTATATTTTTTGTTTTCGCGGGTAACTTTGTCGTTTATTAAAGGATTTTGATAATTCTTTTTTTGTTGGAAAGAAAATATAGGCATCATCTATAGAGCTAGGATCTGATAAAGGCATCCTTCATCATTGAGCAGTGTTGGCCTAGTGGCATCAGCTTGCGACTCTCATCCCTGAGGTAGTATACGATCCCCGGCTGTGCACCAATGGACTTTCTTTCTATGTGCGCATTTAACATTCGCTCGAACGGTGAAGGAAAACATCGCGAGGAAACCGACATGTCTGACTGGAGGCTGCCTTATTGCCTATTAGATTTAAAAATTATCATAAAACAGATTCAGAAATCTGATGCCCAGACCTAATTTATATTATTTACCAGATTTATTTTATTTTTTTGATATTGGCATCCCAGTAAAATCGAGGGGACCATTCAAAAATTAATAGTTCCTTCGTCGGTCGGGCCAAGTTTTCGTTTAACAAAAAGTAAAGTAGTAAGTAAGACCTATTAATTTATTTTACCACATTGCAGTGTCGTTTCCGTCCATCGCGATGGAGATAACAGATGAGGAAGTGACTGAGTACTATTCACCAAGGGATCTGATTGTCGGCGAAACTGTCTTCATTCTGGGACGACGTTTCTTGATATTTGACTGTGACAAATTCACTAGACATTACTACAAGTGAGTTTTGTAAGGTTTTACAGATAAATTCTATCTTCGGTTTAGTTTATGATTTCTTTACGGATTTTTTAGTATAATCTTAAAGAATTATCTATTCTGTAGAGAAATTTGATTCGATTTTTGAGACGGATTATATGTGTAAGATTTTTGTTTTACAACATGGGACAATCGAGCTGGAGGCTTACCTGCTGTTTAGCAATACCGCCCATAGACACTCACATTGCAAGAAGGCTCGGAAGTGCGTTGCCGACTTATTAACTAAAAAATATTTATTAACACTAGTTCTATTAATAGTAAGTACATATAAAAACATGTATAATAAATTGCTAGGGACTTAACGGGGCGGTCTTATCGCTAACAAGCGATTCCAGGCAAGCACAGCCCTGCGATTCTGTAACTCACTTTTCGAACTCACACAGCGGTTTTCGCATCGGCGGTCGCTCTCAAATCAGTCGTGAAGCAGTCATTTTATGATTTGGCATTCTGAAAAGGTGGGAGCTTGTAGTTTATTGTTTATCAGAATGCCAAATCATAAAATGACTGCTTCACGACTGATTTGAGAGCGACCGCCGATGCGAAAACCGCTGTGTGAGTTCGAAAAGTGAGTTACAGAATCGCAGGGCAGTAAGGAAAAAGTAAAGAAAGATTTATTGAATAAATATTATGTACCTAAATTCCTTAAGTATTTCTATTATAAAATGTTTAAATAACTGTCTATAGCGTTGCGATATAATAAAGAAACAAATGAACTACCCAAAACGAATCTTGGTCTCCAAAACGAGAGTTTTCCTTTCCTCATCACTTTAGTTGCAGCAACTATGTATATCAAATTTTATAATTGAATCCAATAAACAATAACGTTACTTAATGTTCAAAATGGCGGGTTATAAAATATTAGCCATAGACTATAGAAATTGCGTAAAAAAAGAAATTACATTGAAAATTAAGAATACAAACTTCTTATCTTAGGGGCCTCATAGCCTAGCGGTCTTATTAAGTGGCAGCTAGGTGAGGGGTGCCGGGTTCGATTCCCGGTTCGAGGGCAAGTTTTAATTTAATTTAAATTTCTTCTCGGTCTTTGGGAGGGATGTGCGGTACCGGGCGAGTGCCTAAACCGTACATAGAGGACACGGTCGAAGTTCTAAGGCAAGCACGAATTATAAAAAAATCTTATACTTGACGCTGGCTAATGCACAAACCGTGCCAGAGCCATAAAAAAAAAATATAAAAAATTCTTATCTTTGTCTAATTGACATTTGACCTGATGATTTATATTTGAATTTTAATACTCTGTGTTTAAATTCGTTCGAAATTCAAATATTAGATTGATCAAATCGCTGCACGCCATTTGATACCTTCGGGAATCAACATGGCGAAGTTAGAATCAATGTCACTCACGACAGTGATTAACAATATTAGTATGACAATTGACAACTCAGATGGGGTTATGTGAGTCAAACTAGATATAAATAGGTGATTCTGATTAGTACTTTAAATGTCAAACATTTAATAAACACTTTATTCACAATTAACACAATAGATATGTGCGTGTCCATAACGCTCGTAGGCTCATTTGCCCTTTGCTATAAAAAAAAAAACCCTTTATGATAAAAAGGGCGGCAACGTACTTCAGCAAGTGCGTGTCCATAGGCTATCATTTATCATCAGATATAAAAGTTATAAATATTATAAACCATCGCCTGGGTGTGAAATGTCGAAAAATTATTTTGTACAAGTAATAATATGTCGTGTTTCTTTAATAATAATAATAATAATAATAATAATAATCATTTATTTGCAAGAATATGGTATAAAAATCTTATGGTTGTACAATCTTAACTCCGCATATTCTGCCACATATAATAGCGTGCAAATTTATCTTACATAATTAACAATTAGAATTTTACTATATTACAATCAAGCCTTATGTGATTTTATAATCACATTATTTATTTTTTATATCCGGACAATCAGCCATATATAAATAGGCATGCAAATGTCATAAATTTTTGCTATGTCATATAATAAAAACATTAACATAATGTCATGATAATACGTCAAGCTATTTATAATCAATTGTTGTCAAACTTATAGGCCAAATATTCGCCTACGCTATAAAAGCACCTTGACTTTAGAAACCCAATCACCTTCCCTTTGAAGACATTACATGACAGCGATCTATAACTTCTGGGAAGGTGATTAAATATTCTTATAGCCATGGCGTTACAATTTTTAGAATATAGCGCGGTGCAACATGCAGGCACCCGCAGCCGTGTTGGATCCCTCGGTATATATAAGCACGTTTCTTTGTATGTATTAAATAGTTTTGGATACTTCTTGACAGTCATAACTGCTTCCAAGATATACAAACTTGGTACTGTCAGAATACCGAGTTCGTGGAAAATTGGCCTACAGCTCATAAGAGGTCCAACGCCCATGATAGCCCTAATACATTTTTTCTGAGTAATAAAAACTTTACTCACATCTACCGAATTTCCCCATAAAAGGATACCATAGCGCAAAACTGAGGCAACATAGCCGTGGTAAGCAATAATTGCTGCGTGTTTTGAAGCTACTTTGCGAGTTCGACTCAAAGCAAAAACAAATTTATTAAGGTGCGTGCATATCGTTAAAATATGTTGTTTCCAGTTAAGATTTTGGTCTAGTGTTATGCCTAGAAACTTGGTTGAAACAACTTCTTCAATTGACTTGTTTTTATAATTGATTTTGAGGTTATTAGGTCTGCAATTATTATAGTTTCGAAATTGTATAAAATTGGTTTTTTTTACATTTATACTTAAATTATTAATTTCCAACCATTCCGTGACATTCTTTATTGTTTCATTCAATAATGATTCGTGGTTACGCGTAGTATCATTCGACACAACCACTGAGATATCATCCGCGTAAAGAATGCATTTATTAGTAACCAAATTTGGTAAATCATTAATGTACAGAAGAAACAGCAATGGGCCCAGTATGCTCCCTTGAGGAACGCCTTTATTGCAATCTATAGCCACAGACTTGTACCCCCTTTCAATATGTTTAGGAGATGAAGTATGTGTGATTTCAACATATTGTTTACGACCGGTTAGGTAACTTTCCAGCCAATTTAAAGGCAATCCTCGGATTCCATAAAGTCTACACTTTTGAAGAAGAATGTTGTAGTCTACGCAATCAAAAGCTTGGCTCATGTCAAAAAAAACTACAGATACCTGCTTGCGCCTATCGATATGTTCTACAATTGCCTTAACTAAAGAGAAAGCTGCTAGGATAGTATTTTTTCCTCTTTGAAAACCGTACTGTTCATCATTTATAACATTGAATTTGCCTAAAAAAGAGCTCAACCTATTGTGCATAAGTTTTTCCAACACTTTAGCTAAAGTTGGTATTAAAGTTATAGGTCTGTAGTTTCTAATATCCTCTGTATTACCCTTTTTAAACATAGGTTTAACTATTGATAATTTTAAAGAACTGGGAAAAATACCCTGTGTGAAAGATAAATTTATGAGATGGGTAAGGATACTTGCTAGTTGTTGTGAAGAGAATTTTAACACTTCTGTTGTTATTGAGTCATAACCTGCTGCTTTAGTATTATTAAGATTATTTATAGCTTTGAAAACTTCGTCACATGAACAAGGAGTTAGAAATAAGGATGGGTTTACAGAATGAACGTTTTGAAGATTAGTGCTAGGTTTCTTAATTGTTTTATTATTTATGTAATAGTTGTTAAATAAATTCGCTATTTCATTTGGATCAGATATCAATTGATTATTATCATTTAAGATTTTATTAGCAATTATAGGACTTCGATTCTGGTCTAGTTGGTCTTTTATAATATGCCAAGTTGCACGAGATTTATTTTTTGCGTTTTGTAGATACGCGAAATGTGTGTATTTTTTCGATGCTACAACGCATTTTTGAGATAATTGTTATATTTTTTGTATGCTTGTTTATTTTCATTTGTTTTCGTTTTAAAATATTTAAAAGTAAGTTGTCTCTTACGCCTACTAGAGATTCTAAGCCCTGGTGTGATCCACTTGGGTGTTGTCATTTTATTGTTAACATTAACTTTAATAACTGGAAAGCAGAGATAAAAAAATAATGATAAATTGTCATGAAAAATTTGGAAAGCTTTATCGCAAGAGCTTTCTTCATATACCTCGCTCCAGGACAAATTTGAAAGGCATTCCCGAAACTTTTCCATGTTTTCAGAGCAGTAATCTCTTCTAAATATACACCACTTTAAGATAATTGGCTTTGTTTTTGTGACGGGAAACCTTAATATTTGGCACGTATCATGATCTGACATATATAAACGGAGTGTTTCGCCTTTAGCACCCTTAATATTACTCAATATATGGTCAATACAAGATAAATTTCTAGTCGGTTCATTAATAAAGTGTTTCAAGTTATAATTTGATAGAATGTCATTGTAATTCATAGTTATATTGTTTATCTTTAAAATGTCTATATTCATGTCACCACATAAAATAATTCTCTGTTTTTTATTTTTTAATTTATGCAAAAGGGTTTGAAATATATTAAAAAAGCTATATACGTCAGAATCGGGCGTTCTGTAAATACAAATTATTATGCATTGAATTGCGGGTACTATTGTGCCACAACATTCAAATGTTTTTTCTATTGATATGTCGTTGCAAAAGCTAAGCGGCGAGATATCGAGAGATTTATCTATGAAAATACATACCCCGCCACGCTTTTTATTTAGCCGACTAAACGATGAGGCTAACTTAAAATTCTTCAGATTCATGTTACTTTCATCGCCTCTTCTTACAAAAGTTTCAGAAAAACATAAAATTTTAGGAGTAGTATTTTTAGTGTACCTGATTTCGCTAAGATTTAGTTCAATAGAATCTAGTTTGCTAAGAAGTCCTGCTATATTTTGGTGTAATAAGTAAGAGCTGCTTATTAGGTCATTTCGTGAGGAACTTGAGTCTTCATTAAAAAATCTCTATTGTTTACATGTGAGTTCTGGCTAGGTCTTATCACGGGAAAATAATACGGTATGGTACCCTTTCTAGGAATGTCACCACGATTACATAGTTTTTTTACATTTTTTTTCTTGAAAGTCAAAAATTTTTTGGTATAGTAATCATAGTCAAATATATAGTTTAACTTTTTACATATACTTGTAAGATATTGCCTTTTATAAGTACCACGTTCAATATCTAAATATGAACAATTTTTAGAACTATTACATATCATTTTCAACATATTATTAAGTAATTTTTCATTAAGAAATCTATTGGTACAGACATTTAATAAAATTATTTTGCTGTTTTTGATAATTTTTAGTAAAGCGCATAGTTCTATAAATATTTGGTATGGATTGGTATCATTTTCACCTAGGCATAGTATCAGGTAATTTCCCACACAGTCCTCCAAACCGTCAACTGTACTTAAGAGATCACACGTTTTTGCATTGGGTTTAATGATGGAGTTAATTTCAAAGCGTCCGTATTGTGTATTAAATCTCGATCGTATAAGCTCCGAGGCAAGTCCTCGGCATTGTTGACTGCCTATTATACTTGAATTTTGTGTTAGGCAGTTGGTCAGCTATTGGATAGCTAGCGCCATCTCTCGAGGACGGTAAACATTCTTTAGGTTTTATAAAATTGCTCCTAGAATCAGCGTTAAGAACCTCCATCGAGGTTTCTAATAATTCCAAGTTGCCACAACTTGCATTAAATTTTTGTTTCTTCTTTATTTTCCTACCTTGTTTTTTCCTCTGTTTTTTGCTTCCTGACAATGTGTTGGGAGTAGAAATATTGTAAGGTGTAGAATATTTCTTTTTAAGATTATTTATGGTTTCTTTTTGTTTTGAAATTTCAATATTTTTCATGGAATTTTCAAGTGATAGGTTTCCAATTCTTTGGTGCGCTAAATCCAATTCTGATTTTAATTGATTTATTTTCTCCAATAATTCGGAATATTCGTATACATTTCTTGTAGAAATGTCGGGTAAGCTTCTAACTTCATAACAGTCATAGTTCGATTGAGTTGAGGTAGATGAAATGTTAAGGGATTCAATGGATCTTCCCTTTTTTCTTCTTATTGTAACGTAGGCATCCTCCATTGTGAGAAAAAATAAAATAATTATGACAGGAACTAAATATATATTATGACAAAATAAAATATTACATATGTTTTCCTGTAAATGATGCTTTAATAAACATTTATTTTCATTAAATACAAAATATTATTTCAAATGCGACAACTTAATTTTTTTAATTACAATAAAACTGTGAAGAAATGTGTGGTAGAGATTTTCAGCAACTCAGCAACGTCCTTTCGCTGAGTCGTTTTAGGAACCTTGCTGTGTTTAATATTTGCTATAATTATTTTCTTAAATGCTACATTATTATGTATTTACATTATATATTCGCGGATGCTTGGCGGACCCATACGGCTTCAATACAAAGAGTCTCCTCGTGAGTTGTGTGCTGCGATATTGCGGGCTATCGTTGAGGAAGTTGTATGATCTGCCCTGCAATTCTGTAAAAAGGTGGGAACTTGTAGTTTATTGTTTATCAGAATGCCAAATCATAAAATGACTGCTTCACGACTGATTTCAGAGCGACCGCCGATGCGGAAACCGCTGTGTGAGTTCGAAAAGTGAGTTACAGAATCGCAGGGCTGGTCACACGTGTATAACATATTTTCATAAGTATCTGAATGTGCTCATTTTAATATGTATGATGTTTGAGAGGAAAAATAAAAAATCAGTGACTTCAGTAATAGTTATCGATGTGGTCTCTGATCACATATACATCTTTTACTTACCACCATATAATTTATAGGCTATATATGTTTATTACAAAAATATTATTGCGATTACATAGTAATAATGTTCAAGATATTTTCAGATCAATGCTGAATATTGATCAGCCGCAGAGGATTCAAGTATTCCATGAAACGAAGAAGGAATTCCCAAAGGTATGTATGTGAAATTGCTAGATAGTGATAACTTTTATAAGGAATCAAACAGACATATAAAATATATGTTATCAAAAACATAACTTGTATAAAAAACTAAGTCTCGCAACGCAGTTCTTCTACTGTAAATAGTTGTGAGATCCACGTAATACCAAGTCGGTTAATTTATTCAGTACCTTCTGTCTAAGTTTATTACGTAATTAGCTCACCTAACATCCATATCAATATTACAAATCTTTTATACTGTTAATGTATATTTGCTCCACTTGGCTGGCTCCTGAATAGTTCTGTAAAAAACTTCCGTACTGTTTAACTTCCAATAGTTATCCCGGTCTCAATAATGAGAATAAATAATCTCAATTTTTATCAAGTCAAGACAAATAATTTATTTCAATTAGGTCTAAAAGGCACTTTTGAAAGTCAAAATTACAAATAAAAAAGTTAAAAAAAATTACTAGTTGCCCCATCCGAAAAGTAGTTTCATATGGAAGAATAGGCAAGGATCTCCATATTTTTGTAAATAGTTTTTACAATATTTTGTATACACTGATTTGATTATTATATGTGTATGTTATTATATGTGTGTATCCACGAGATTTCATTCCGCCATAGCTACAGGGTACAGAGTAAAGGGGCAGACGTTATATCGAATAATAAAACCTAAGGGTTACCTAGATATACAAAGAAGAATGGAAATTGAGTTCATAGATTAATTCTTCCAATCCGGCTTGCTTTTTGAATGAAATGCTTTATATTGTCTTGATTATGAAACAAAGCAAAGAAAGCAAAAGGCCGGCAACGCACTCGCGAGCCCTGGCATTGAGAGTGTTCATGGGCGGCAAAAAAAATTAAAATAAAAAAAATTAAAAAAAATTATATAAAAAAAATTAAAAAAATGGTGCGTGTACTAGGTGTACACACGTAAGAAGTGAAACTTCTTTATGATCTTATTTTTCGAAAAATGATCTACTATGTATATGCAACTTTACAGAAATTCGTTAAATTAGATAAAGTTTAACAAAAGGCTTTTATTATCATAGACATGAATACAAATATTTCATTTTACCTTATTACTACGAAGATTATTATAGAATTTCATTAATTGTAATAGAATTATTACTATCATTGAAAAACGTGACGATTTGCTACAAAATTTCTCCCATACGTCGATAAAGAAGTTTCATTCCAACGCCGATAAAGAAGTTTGACTTCAAAAAGGAACATGGCGCGTAACCGAAAAACGTGACGCGTAACGAAAAAATGTTACACTAAATTTTTTTCCAACCTCGATAAAGAAGTTTCACTTCAAAAACTACAGATTTGTTCTTTAATAAGGTCACTATAGGAAGATTTGGACACAGTACAAAGTGCTCCAACGCATAAAAGTATGTAATATACAGAATTGGAAATATTTCCTCGTAAAGACGTCTTTGGCAATATAACTATATTTTGTATATATCGAATCAAATACGATTTGTTCTTTATAATTCTTAGCAGTTGTAACAAAACTCATATTTTTTGCAATTTGAACAGTCTTTCTTTAAATTTGGACACTTCATTAATAGGTAACTTGTAGCTGTAAAGCCCCATCCACACGCTTGACAAACAATGGCAAACAGCCAACAGCAATCAGCATACACGAACGTGTGGATGGGTGTTCGTCGTTGTTTGCCTGTTTGTGTTTGTGTTGGGCAGTGTTCGGCATCGGTGTCGGTTTTAGTTGCCAGATCAAAGGATGTTTGGCAAACAGTTTGCTACGTATCCACACGTTTGGCAGCGATCAGTATGCGCGCGAGCTTGCGGGAGGCGGACGTATTTACTTGCTACACTTTCGTTGGCGCGCAAAGCGTAAAAAATGTCTGATTGGAGCACCTACGATTCTGACATTTTTAAGTAACTTTTAAGTAAATTTAAAAAAAACACGGCAAAGTAAAGCTCAAATAATAGGTCTAAAGCCTTGTACGCTTTCTATGTATTTTAATCATCCACCATCGTCTTTGCTTTCTTATTTTTTTCCTTTTTTCTTTCTCTTGCTTTAATTTATAATAAAAATATGTCAACCCGAAAGTAATAGCTGCAACAAGCTCGTCGTCCGCCATGTTTGCCGATTCGGAATGTTATGAACGTTCGCCAAGCATGTGGATGGCTGTTTGTGTTGGGTGATTGTGGTTGGTGTTTGGGACTTCGTTTGCTTTTTGCGGTGTTTGTGACAAACAGCCAGCGTGTGGATGCCCCATAAGATCGGGGATGTGGGTGTAAGAGAGACGCCACTATTTTCTTTCTCTCTCAGCCCTAACCAAATTTCATTTTGTGCCCTTAGCATTCAAAATCTCACTTTACCTAAACATCTTTCGACCCGTGTGTTAATGAGATTTCATTATATTGATTTTCAGAGTCTTCCGCCCCACATTGGTATCGGTACTCCCGAGGATACACTGCAATCATGCTTCGGACTGATGCCGAAGCCACCACATAAAGATGTCATCAAGTACAATCTTAATGCTAATAAGGTAATTATAAAATATTAAATGCCTGAGACAATTTGGCGGGTATTGATTTACAGCTGAAAACAAAGGACTATATATATATTGGTTGCTATCACACAATGATTATAAAAATAATATTTTTCTTAACTAATCAGATACCGAAGTCTATTTAAAAATGTACTATAAGCTTTCTAAGCTAATGTTTTGTTATCAGAAGTCCATTTCGCTTGTCTGCTCTTATTTGCTTGACCAAAAACGATGGTATGAGAAGAGTAGAGAAGTTTTAATTTTCTTGCTACTTCAAAGTAAACTATATCCAGATATACTTATAAAATAAATAAAAGTAAATCAGTAGCGTTACAACCTTTTTTGGTATGGGCCTCAGATTTCTGTTTTCATGATCATTTGTTAATCTAATAGGCAAGTAGGTGATCAGTCGACTTTTTAGGTCTAAGACATGTCGGTATCCTCACGATGTTTTCCTTCACCGTTCGGGCGAATGTTAAATGCACTAATAAGAAAGTCCATTGGTGAACAGTCGGGATTCCAACCTACGATCTCAGGTATGAGAGTCGCACGCTGAAGCCACTAGGCCAACACTGCTCTTATAAAATTATATTAAGCACAAATATTTTTAAATATATAAAAACCCTACAGATTTTAAAGATTTGGGCCTCAGAATTATTTATCTGTTTCATCAAGTAGGCAAATTTTTTTTTAAAGTCTTAATGTAGGCTAATAATGCCTTCTTACCATGACACGCCGTCGATTTGATGGGCATGAATTTGCTCTCGATATTTTTTGGACGAACGAGTGTTTAATGCGTACGACTACCACTTGTACCGTGTACTTGTACTTGTCTCCGGCCACTAGGGCGGCAAAGGTAAGATTCCTTCACCGGCCGATCTGAGCCCATGCGCTCAAGGTAGCCAACATATTCGTTGCCTATAATAAAATTGCAATAAATAAACGATATTAGAAATCACAATTCATTTCCAATAAACGATCGAAGGAGCGCTTTGTATCGGTTTGCGACGTATTTGAATGCGCCTGGCGATAACTTTAGCGGCGCTATTCCGTTGAATCAAGTTTGTTAAAACTGTCGATGGAATAATCGCAAGTGAAAGATTTAGGACGAGACAAACGATAGGCACGAGTATTCGTTTATACTTGGAGTTACAATTGTTGAATATGTATAGACAACTAAACAAAGGAACTAAAAGACTCGCTCGTTTTTTTTTATAGAACAGCCCTAGTTAGCGTAGGGCAGTAAAAGATCTTTTTAACGACTTTGAGAATATATAAACAGCTAAATATAGGAACTAGGTAGGCACTACTGATTAATAAGAACGATCAGTACGAAATAATACCCCATTTTAGACTATTCGGACTATTTCCACTAACCTGGAAGAGAATTAAAATTATTTGCTTTTTGTGTTTAACATCCGATAATAGAGCCTAGTGGCTAAGGGGCCGTTCAAGTATTACGTAAGCAGATTTACTGCATTTTATCCCCCCTCCTTTCTCTTGTCAGCAAAAGTAAGCAAAGCTCTCACATACATAAACGTATAATTTTTTTGTAGGAATGCATTTCGTTTTCAAGCATAGACAATGTGTGGGTAATATGGTGTTAAAAAGTAAATAATTACTGTTGACGTAATCAACAAATTATAAAACCAGAGACCCTCCCCCCTCGCCCCTATAGTGCTTACATAATACTCGAACGGCTACTGAGCCGCTAGAGGCAAATTAATCCTGGTTGTGCTTCTATGTTTTTCTGTTGTTTTTGAGTTATGGATGCTTGCTCATACGGCGATTGGAACTAGCACGACCCAAAAATCTATGTTTAGACACAGAAGATGTTATAGCCCTAGGGTGATCTGAAGTATGACTCCGTATACCTAAAACGGATTAGTTTAAAAAGGGAGTTGGGGGGGGCGCATTTTTTCTATATATCAAGACACAACAAATAAAATTATTGTAAGTCTGTACAGCGATAAAATATCATACAAGTGTACAAGAATTACACTAGATTACGAAAGTGAACGATTGTAATACCACAAACGCTCAATAGTATAACAGAATAACGCTACCGTATTCAATTAAAGTTGTACTTCAAAGCCAAGTCTTGGAACTCTTGCAGCATCTGTGCTGTTATAAGTTTACAAGTATAACTTTATATACTTTTGAATGGACCATTTTGACAATTCGGATTTAAAAAATAAATACACGAAACTTAAATCGAAAAATCGTTTGTCAAATATGACATACAAAAATAATACTTAGTTAAGTCGTGATGTCCAACTTTGAGTGGATTATTACACTTTAATAACACTAGTTTATTGACTACACATTAAAGAATAGGATGAGAAACAAAACACTTCTTAGTTAATAAATATAATAATGTAAAGAAAAAACTTTTTACCTGATTAAAGTTATGTATTATTATAAATTTACAATTATTTAACATAATTTTAAATTTATCCGACGTTTCGCGTGCTTTACAGCGTGCGTGGTCACGGTGACTGAAGACAAAAGGTGTTGAATGTCAAAAAGTATAACATACATAACTTTAATCCGGTAAAAAGTTTTTTTCTTTAAATGTGTAAAGGTTATGTCAATCAAAGACAATACAATATAATAATTATTGTTTATTTATTCAATAATAATAATAGACTTTTACTTCATATATTTTTACACTTAATCACATTAATATTTCTATATCATTCTTTTAGGTATCTGTGCCCCCTCTTGTGGCAAAGGCCTTCTCCAAATCCCGCCATTCCTGTCTTTACTGTGCCACTCTCTGCCATGTACCTGCTGTTTCCATAATTTCGTCTATCCACCTTCTCAATTGTCTTACTCTTTTTCGTTTATTGCACCTTGGGCACCAGTTTAGTACTTGCTCCGCGTTTCTGTTCCTCTTGCCATATGCCCCGGCCTTTTCCACTTAAGTTTATTTATTTTTATTAGCCTTAGTTGTTATTCTTAAATATTTATTTTAAAACGCAACACATAAACACTAACAGAGAACACACGACATTCAAAACTCAAAACATGCATGTGCATCAATGACATGTGCATAACGTTTAAAGGGAAACATTAGAATCAAAAGAGAAAATAAATTATATTAAAATAATAAACTAGACTAGATTAATAATAATAATAATAATAATTTTAATTAATCAGACAAATACAGTCCATTGATTGATTAGTGAGTTAGTAACAATAGTTTCTTAAGATCTATGTTAGAAAATTAGTAAAAATAAGGAAAAAGTAATTAAATAAAAAACTATCAGGTACAAAGCCCTGCGGAGATGTCGGAGCAGTGTCGTAAATAGGGGCACTCCATTCTTTCGACTATCATCCGTAAGATGTTGCTGGAGCTGCCCCGCACCCGGCGCACCAAAGAAGCGCACCGCTTTCGCATAGTGGCGAAATAGCAATCCACCCGCGCCTCTGCAAACATTCTTGATGCACTGCAGAAGCGAGGCAGCCCCAGCAACACCCTAAATGCGTTATTATACTGCACCCGAAGCGAGTTGTATGTTTGTCGAGTAAAAATAATAATAATAATAATCAATGGCGCGTCAATCTTTTTAGGTCTGGGCCTCAGATTTCTGTATCTGTTTCATGATCATTTTTTAATCTAATAGCCAAGTAGGTGATCAGTCTCCTGTCCGTGACGAATGTCGACTTTTTGTGTCTAAGGCAAGCCGGTTTCCTCACGATGTTTTCCTGCGAATGTTAAATGCGCACATAGAAAGAATGTCCATTGGTGCACAGCCGGGGTTCGAACCTACGACCTCAGGGATGAGATTTGCACGCTTAAGCCACTAGGCCAACACTGCTCAAGAGACTAGATTAATACAAATATGCAATTTAAAAATTTAATATATTTCTACTTTGCAATTGTTATTATTGATGACGGATCAACAGTGGCTGCAGCATCTTACGCCTGAAGACATAAAATGGTTCAGCCTTGCATTTCCTCAAAGCGTCGTTTACTGCAGATAGAGATCTGCCCTGCGATTCTGTAACTCACTTTTCGAAATCACACAGCGGTTTTCGCATCGGCGGTCGCTCTGAAATCAGTCGTGAAGCAGTCATTTTATGATTTGGCATTCTGATAAACAATAAACTACCAGCTCCTACCTTTTCAGAATGCCAAATCATAAAATGACTGCTTCACGACTGATTTGAGAGCGACCGCCGATGCGAAAACCGCTGTGTGAGTTCGAAAAGTGAGTTACAGAATCGCAGGGCTGTTCCGAGGATCATTACTACCGACGTTGGTTCTCACTGCCCGAACGTAGAAAATGACTGATGTGTTTCTTGTATTTCTCTTTAAGAGGAACTTTACTTGACTTAAAACATTTGGTAAATCTACCAAGTTATTTAAAATTTATTCTTTACTTCATCTTTCGATCTAAGACACACCTGTAGCTTTGTATGCTGCCGCTTTAGTGGCCGAGTTTGATATATATATATTAAATTTCAACTGTATTACTACCTTATATACTTGTACTAGCAGACCGGTCAAGCGTTGCTGTGGCTGGCGTAAGATGCTGCAGCCACTGTTGATTCGTCATCAATATTAACAATTGCAAAGAAGAAATATATTAAGTTTTTAAATTGCATATTTGTATTTCTTAATCTAGTCTCTTGAGCAGTGTTGGCGAAGTGGCTTCAGCGTGCGACTCTCATCCCTGAGGTCGTAGGTTCGACCCCGGCACTTAGATACAAAAAGTCGACATTCGTCACGGACAGGAGACTGATCACCTACTTGGCTATTAGATTAAAAAATGATGATGAAACAGTTACAGAAATCTGAGGCCCAGACCTAAAAAGGTTGACGCGCCATTGATTATTATTATTATTAATATTAATCTAGTTTATTATTTTAATATAATTTATTTTCTCTTTTATGATTGTAATGTTTCCCTTTAAACGTTATGCACACTCGTCATTGATGCACATGCATGTTTTGAGTTTTTGTTACATTACATAGTAGCAAACTATTCAAGGGAAACGGTAGGAGAACACCAGTCATGGGGACCACCATGCTTTTTGGTGGTTATGCCATTAAATTGTAGCTTATTTGAAAAGTTGGTACTTTCAACACAGAGCCATCTGTTAGAATTGTGACTATCAAATATTTTGCAATAAAATAATATTGCGGGTTTAAATTGAGATGTAAGCTATCCTATCTTTTAAGTTGGATCAAACTACACACGATGTGCAAATTTGATTGATATCGGTTCGGTAGCTTAGGAGTCCATAGCGGACAAACAACGTGACACGTAATTTATATATATAAAGATATTAGCTACGAAGATTACAGTTGAATGAACCAAAAAATGTTTAAACACTAACCGAGAGTTTAACATTGCTACAATAATGAGTCGTTAAGTTAAGATGCACGAATTATATAAAAATGTTTTTAATTTCAGTGCTTATACCTTTTCGTTGAGAGCTTTTGGTTCACTCACATATGCCATATGTTTCATATACTTTGTGTCCCTAAAACAGGTTGAAGCATGGATTTATAAATCCATGGGTTGAAGTACCTACCTGAGAATCGCAACTCGACTCGCGTGACCCACTAGCGTGTAGGTACTTAATGTTATTCTCATACAATTTTCTTTTGTGGTTTTTTATTGTATTTTGAGTGTTTTAAGATGTATCCCTGAGTTCGTAGGTTTGATTTGAGGCTGTGTACCAATATGTAGGCATTTAGCACTCTCACGTTTTTTTTATACAACAAGGGCAGGGCAGGAGGCTCATCTGACATTAAGTGATACCGCCGCCCATGGACTCGCAATGCTAGTGGGGCTCGCGAGTGCGTTGCCTTTTAAGAATTGGTACGCTCTTTTCTTGAAGGACCCTTAGTCGAATTTTTCGTGAAGGAAAACATCGCGAGGAAATCTTACTATGCCTATCCAATGATCATAGACATAGACATAACATTTATTACTAACGAAACACACAAAATAATAATAACAATTAAAAAATATGGAAAGAATAAAAGAAATAAGGTACATTTTATGTGTGTAATGTGTGTGCGTTGTGATTGTAACTGGCCCTGAATCAGCATTATGCTGTGGAGGCTGGAGCAGACGTGTTTCACAGCGCTGGTCATTCTGCCAGAGACCGCAACAGTTAGTTTGCGCCTCAGACGCAAAAAATGAAAAAGAAAGTAATAATACAAATAGGAGAAAAAGTGATAATAGTAAACTAATAGTGTATGTAAAATTCACGAAAAAGGTTTTATTTATTTATTTTTTCACAAAAAATTACATTTACTATCCAAAAAATATTAAATACATAAGATTCATAATATCGCTACTGTGAACTCACTCTGCGAATATAGTATATTATTCTGAGGCCCACATCTAAAAGGTTGTAGCGCCACTGATATTTTTTATTCTCGTGTTTTTGTTTAATATTTTAGTCTTTTAAAATATGTAAACAAAGCGCAGTGCAGAAATAAAATTAAAACAAACTATATTATATTAATTAAAATTAATTATATTATATTAATTAAAATTAATTATATTATATTAATTAAAATTAATTATATTATATTAATTAAAATTAATTATATTATATTAATTAAAATTAATTATATTATATTAATTAAAATTAATTAAAATTAATTATATTATATTAATTAAAATTAATTATATTTTCACAGTACCTCCGCTATCTCTGTGAACTGGACTGGATACATCCGGAGGATAAAGGTCGTCAGTTCGTGTTTGCATATAGCCTCGCCGACGGGACAATAAAAATTGGCGAAATTCCACGGAGAAATTCCGGGATTCGTGAAGGGAAATTCCTTAAGGCTATGCTTTTGCAAACCCCGGAGTCCGATCCCAATTTCCCGACGTATTATACGCCGGATAGGTTTTTTATTGGTAAGCGAAAATATGCAATACAACTATGGGAGCGTTCAAGTCACGCAATTTTTGGAGATTATTGATACGGAAGATTGTGACGCCGGTATTATTATCAGGTGTACAACCTGCTTTGTTCTTTAAAATAATGTGCGAAACATCAAGCTTTATAGTCTTACATAAATTTGTTGTGAAATACAATCTCAATTTAAAACTCAATTTCAATAAATGGAAACTAATTTCCTGAGTCGAATTATGTACGAATGGCGCTATAATTTGAATGACAGTGCCAGAATTTGTATTTAACCTAGTGTACACAATGACGGAATAGATGGCGCTAATAAGTGCTTAAGCACTACACAATCAGATGACGTAGTTATGCTATCTCACGATAGATGGCGTTTTAATCATTATTCAACAATGCCGATTTCTATACCTTTCCGTACGATTTATTCCTTTGTGTAAATGTTTTTATTATTATTATTTATATATTATCAACAGTTATGTTGTTAATTTATAAAATATAAGGAATGTTGTTCTGCCGTTTTAAATTAATTTTTTTTTCTGTCACACTGTTATTCAGAAAAGCGCCAACCACTAAATTTCATACATAGATACATTAATAATTTAAATATTTTCAGAAGTTTTTATTGTTATCTGTGAAGCAGTTACAGTATTTCTTTTTTATATATCCTGTGACGTGTCTGTTGTTTCATTATTTAATAAATAAACCGAAGTGTGTATGTCCTATACCCCAACAGGGTATGCGATACTTGCTGAATAATAAAACAATTATTCTGATAGCAATATATTGGAGTTCTGGTTAATGTGGTCCATGGCACGATATTAGTGAAATGCGATCATTATAATTGGTTTTATATGTTAACACAAGCTGTTTAAATTAAAACCACTAATTAAATTCAAGCGATGCTTGAAATTGCTAAAAATTAATCCGGCTCGAAAGACCAAAATGTAATGTTCCTGGGTCAGTAGAGATGTTTTAAATCATGAAAAAATATATTGTACACTATTTATTAAAAACCCACGTTAAAGAAAGGATATATATATTAGATGGGCTGAAAAGTTCATAGACTCGCATAGAATTTTTGAAGTTATACTTCTTTAGGCGCGTTATGAAAAATTAAATTAAAATTAAATTAATTAGAAGGCATTGGACATAATTTAAAAACAACATTCGAATAATAATAGAATTTATGTTACACATAGGCTATGTTCACATGTAACGCGCGTTAACGCGCGATCAAATTTATAAAGTGTTCAGATGACAAGCGCTAACGCGCATTGCGAGAGTACTCGTCAGTCTAGTTCGGTAGAACGTAGAAAATGGACGTGGAAGAGGCTATTATTTTGTGGTTATATTGTAAAGAAAAATCTAGAAAAAGAAAATAATGGAATAATTAATGTATTTACAAAACATCAAAAAGGCTATTCTAGCATTTACTTATGTCTGCGAACGAGTGTCTTAGAAATGATTACTATATTACCTATATTTTTCTTTTTATCTTGAGTGCCATCGCAAAAATTAATACCAATTCTTCCCATTTCAAAATTTAAAAAAATAAAAATCATTTAATTCAGACCATTAAAAAATCCATATATTGTTAGTAAAGTAATCCTTATAACTATGTTAGTAAAATTAAAATTAAATTTAGCAAAAAAAAATTTAAGCACATCGTTTCAAAATTTTGTTTTTATAGGATTCCGAACCAATATTCCAAATTGCTGGCCTTTTTTCTACTTCATCGATTAGTAAGTCGATGTCAATATCATCAATTTCACTCATTTTAAATGCGAGAACAAAATATATAATCTTATAAAATCTTTGAACAAAATATAATTACGAAAATTAACAAAATTACATGCGATCGCGATGAAAGCGCGCGCTCATCTGAACAGCAAACGGACATTACATTAATATCAAAGCGCGCGTCAACGCGCGATCACCTGCGTCTAGAGACTTTTTCTCTGAGCGCCGCGTTGACGCGCGTTAACGCGCGCTCATGTGTACAGTTGTATGAAAATACCACAATGTCTAGTCGCGCGATTTGAAAACGCGCGTCAAGTTTTTGCCATCTGAACATAGCCTTAATGTAAGAGAATAATAATAAATATTTATTTATTTAATTTTTCAAATGTAAACTGAACTTTATTGACTATAATGACTACTTTTCCAGTCTTTGATTATTTAATTGTAATTCATTATTTGCATGCAATTAAAAACTATTTTTAATAATGTCAAAGAAGTATAACTTCTTATGCGCGTACATAAGTACACGCACCTTTTTTTTCTTTTTATCTCGATATAACGATTAGAGCCATAAAATAAAAAAAATTGATACCATTTTTATACTACGATTTGTCTTTAGCCTCAAAATAGCCTTCGATTACCTCTTGATCAGCGCAAAATTTCTATCCAGGTTAGAATATCATTAATTTAATGCTACATGAATGCTATGTAATATAAATGCTGAAGATTTGCCTGCGTCTGGCTATACTCTCGGGGCGTAAGTTCGACGATTTAGGTAATCACGCTTTTAAAACTAAGAAAGCCTGAGTGAGCAAACAGCTTTGGCTCGTGCAATGTGATTAAATTTATTTGATTGTTTTGTAATCTCTCTTAGAAACCAAAATTCATCTATATAGCTTTACTATGCGGGATGTATAGCGGCTCGAACGGACGATCTCAAAGTCCACTAGTCTAACACTAAAGAAAACAATATTATTCTTGTATTCACGTCTCAAAAGAACATTGTTTATTTATTTATTTATTTATCAAAGTACACCCATAATATATAATGCATTTACAATATGTGTTACAAACCATCTATTCTAAAACAAATGACAATTATGGTGAACATCAATTTTACAAATAATAAAAATATTCTGCTTCCAATTTTATTCTTTACTGGTAATTTTTTGCTTCACAATGTGGCTTTAGCGTGTGAATCTCATCCATGAAGGTCGTAGGTTCGATCCCCGGCTATGCACCAATGAACTTTCATTCTATAATAATAATAATAATTTTTATTAATCAGACAAATACAGTCCATTGATTGATTAGTGAGTTAGTAACAATAGTTTCTTAAGATCTATGTTAGAGAATTAGTAAAAATAAGGAAAAAGTAGTTAAATAAAAACTATCAGGTACAAAGCCCTGCGGAGATGTTGGAGCAGTGTCGTAAATAGGGGCACTCCATTCTTTCGACTATCATCCGTAAGATGTTGCTGGAGCTGCCCCGCACCCGGCGCACCAAAGAAGCGCACCGCTTTCGCATAGTGGCGAAAAAGCAATCCACCCGCGCCTCTGCAAACATTCTTGATGCACTGCATTCTATGTGCGCATTTAACATTGAAGCTCGAACAGTGAAGGAAAACATCGTGAGGAAACCGGCTTGCCTCAGATCCAAAAAGTCGACGGCGTGTGTCGGGCACAGGAGACTGATCACCTACCTACTTGCTTATTAGATAGACAAATGATCATGAAACAGATACAGAAATCTGGTGCCTAGGCCTGGAAAAGGGTTGTAGCGCCACTGATTTATTTTTAATAATGCGTATTAGGTACCAGATTTTTGTTAATTTCACCCCACTACTAAATATCAAGCTCTGCATAAGAAGTGTTTATTGTTATATTCGCGTAGAATTCCAGTGAGAAGTTTTCACAAGGGCTAACATTCCTTGTATTTTAGGAGCAATTGTACCAGTGTTCAAACATCGTTTCAAGATTATCGGATGCGATTTGTTCGTGTATCGATACATGAGTGCGAACCCGGATAAATTCCCGCAGGAGGTGATTGATAATGTTCGTAACTATCACATGAGTGAGGGCAACCTTAAGGATGAACTGCAGGTGAGTCTGCAAATTAGTATGATTTGTTTGATCTCACTCCAAGTCTGTCTGGCTCTAAAGAGTGGCGGGGACTTTCTTGCCAGTTGTACTCATGCGCCTTTAATTGGTATTAAATGTACATGTAGGTTTGAAATATTGCCGTTTATAGGTACATACCGATAGTACACAAAATTTAGTTTTTTTTTAAAGTCTGACTAGCGGTAAGTCTCGGTGCCCACTAAAACCTGATGGATGCCTTCAGCTCGCTAATGGGCGGAGACAGGTAACAGCTGATCCCTATCCTTATTCCTGCCAAACGCGAATGCCCCACACCGTGACACCTCCCACGCACAAATCTTCAAAACCTTTTCTTAGGGCAGACGGCGTCGCTGCACCAGTCGTTTCCATTAACACAGCTTTTTCCAAATATCTCTGTCCATACCCTCTTCCTGCATTCGATTTTTGCTAACGTTTCTTTTTCTTGTATCCACCTTTATTTGGGGCACCCTCTTCTCCTTCTTCCTCTTGGTTTTTTTCATATAGGTGTCCAGAATTGTTCATGTATTAAACTCATATACATATAGAAATCTGAGATGATCTGACATTTTTATATTGAACTTTACGAATACTTAACATTGAAGTTTGTGCCAATGGTACACAGGTCGAAATCTGATGACCATTTTACAGATAAAAACTCTCGTTTGAACTTTATCTTCGTATCTATTTGAATTATATTACTATTATGAATTGAATAATTTGTAATTTATGACGTAAGATTGGCCCAAAAGAGAGTTCAACGACTTGTATAATTGACACGTTATTACGGATTTATTTGCTCCAGTTCAAACAGTTTGTATGAATTTTGATTCAAAACTTAGCTTCAACTTAGCGATGAAAAAGAGTGGCGGAGAGTTTCTTGGCCGTTCCTTTTGCCCGCTCTACGCCTGTGACTTGCGAATAAGTAAATCTAAATTTAGAATCAATTTAACATCTTTTCTGTTGACGTTCATAAGTGTGCTTGATTACTTATATGAATAAAGTTATTTTGAGTTTGAATTTGCTCATTGTTGTTGAGACGAGTGTAAAATCGTTAATTTTAACAATTACAGGAGGCAATACGTGACGAACAAGCTGCAGAGGTACGCGCTCAATTGGCAAAGATTGGTCAAGCGGCTGTCGCCGAGCCAAGCGCGATGGAGCGTTGTCTAACCGCCCTAGACGTTGTAGAGGGGAGCGCTACGCCGCCCAGGCCGCCTACGCCGCCCAAAACTACGGATCGTATAGCATATGATGACGCATTACGCGTGCAAAGAATGAGGTATGTTAATAATATAATGGTGATTTTTGGAATTTTGACTGCTTTTCTGTTTTTTTTTTTCTAAATTGAAACATACATGAAATGTGGCCAATTTATTTCTGCCAACCGCGTTAAATCACATCATTTTTCGTATGTTTACGCGTAAGATTAAAATAATAGGCCGTACTCGGAGTGTTTAGTCAAAATGTAATCTGTTGATGTTTGACTTTCAATTTAATAATTACCTAACCTACCTACGGTTTCAGGTCAGTTTGTTACAAAACTTGTCTAAAATTTGTCTATTAAAATTATATATAAACTAGCGGATCCGATAGACGTTGTCCTGTACACATGTCTTACTTAGAAAAAAAAACAAATAATGTAAATCATTATCGACTCCACTCGCACACAAAAAAAAATTTCATCAAAATCTGTTTAATTACGAACACATGCACAGAAGATTTATATTTACCAGCTGTTCATTTGCTGTATAGATAAATAACCTAGATACCGACTGCAGTGCCATCTGCCGGGCTAATTTATGAATCTAAAAAAAATCATTGAAATGGCTCCAGCCGTTTAACACGTTCGTTGCATTACGAGATCTATCAGATCTCTTGCAGGACTTTTGTATTGTGCGTTGAACATAATCGTGTTTTTTCACTCCTTGCGGGAGGATGTAACTTGTAAAGTTCTTTAAGGATGAGCAGGACAAATATACATATTTGCTTCGTACTTAAAGCTGAATTCAAGGACTTTAAAAAATAAATTAGAGATGGATTAGGTCCCTAACGCACAGTACTGTAATTGTTTTAATTCCTTGCGTTAGGAGATATGTCGGTATTCGTGAAATCGTACGCCTCGTAGACGCAAGAGATGGAGGATGGGATTTTTAGTGTTGTCCTAGAATCGACATTCGGGAAGTCGCGGGCACGTTTTGGAAATAACACTCGCGTATATATCAGCGTGTTGATTATTTTTGATAAACAATGAGTGATTAAGTTTAAAAGAAAAAAGTGTAAAAAATCTATTTTATTGGTGAGGTTTCTAACAAAAAAAAAACGCCGGATTATACTGCTGCATCGTCCAGTAAAATATTAGTTTTGGAAAATGTTCAAATTTGCCCCCCATTGACTAATAATGACAGTAATTCTGATTATGAAATATTTAACGATAAACCTTTTTCGTTGGAGCACACGCAGTTAAACAGCACTGACGCTTCTAAAAAAACTAAACGAATTGTTACCATTTGCGCGTAATGTGCAAGCAATCAATGTGCTTACCATGTTTTAATGAAAAACACTTTGCATAATTAATAAAACTTTTAGAATCGATAACTGAGATATTATTTTATTCCCCTCACTACTTACTACACATATTGAACTATCTTCAGGTGCGGTACGAGATACAATCGATATCTAATTTTTTTTTGTTATTTGTAGTTTATTCAAATGTCGTAACTGCGTGCGAACCTAGCAAAATATAAAGCAATAAGCTATCTTTCACCCACAAAAAATTCAAAATATATGTAATTGTTTTTTGGAAGATATAAATTATTTTCAAAAGTGTATTTTTAGGAGACTGATTAGGTCTCAAACGCACCAGAGGATAGGCTTGTTACGAGATCTTTTAGGTCTCCAACGCACCAGCTGAAAGTTCTTTAAAAATGATGGCGCAGTGAACGTGTTAAGAGGAGTTATGTGGCATACACACATACAGTAGTATTATATATATATCAAGATAATATAAATAAAAAAAGCCTTTTTGATAGTTGTATATCTATCATCGTAATAGTTCTTATTACAATGCTTGAGACTTGTTAAGAGTATTATTGATCAAAAGACTTTTAAAATTAAATGGCAAAGTTTCTTACCAGTTCTCGTCTGTTCTACGCTCTGGATTTGAGAACTTTGGTTCATCTAGAAGCAACAATTCCTTGTAGTGAGTTCAAAATAACATTCACAGGGATTTGAATGAATAATTGAATAAATATTTATCATGTAATTAGCGACTGCGCAATGCGCATGCTGTTAGCAAAAATATGTTTTTAATTATAGGACAATTATTTGAAATCAATGACCATATAAGATAAATATCTATCTTGACCTGATTCCAGCGTTTAATTTGCGAGGTAAGCTGGAAAATTGTGTAGTGTTGGCCTGGTGGCTTCAGCGTGCGACTCTCAGTCCTGAGGTCGTAGGTTCGATGGCTGCGTACCAATGAACGTTATTTCAATGTGCGCATTTAACATTCGCTCGAACGGTGTCAGGCACAGGAGGCTGATAACCAACTTGCCAATCAGATTGACAAATGATCCATACAATAGAGGTCCCTTACGCTGTCGCAAGTTTTAACAGAACAGTTATAAAAAAAAATGTTTATTATGGAACATAAGATACTTGTATCACTTATTCCACGTCATTAAATAAAAAATTATTATTTAATGACGTGGAATAAGTGTAATAAGTAATTATTATTACATTAAATAAAATTCTCACTGTTCTCCAAGTATAATAGTATTAACAATAGTTTTCAAATAGCTTGACTTAATAATATCTAATAAATCATTTATTTGCACAGAAAGTGGAACTACTGGGAAGGTCACGGAAAAACTCTGGGTTTTGCTTGGATTATTGAAATTTTGAAATCAGTCCAGTAGTTTTTGAGTCCTTTGGTTACCAACATACAGATTAATATAGTCCCCACTTTATGATATTGCAACTAAGCAACAACATTCCAGCAACCCAACATGTGACAATGTACTACCACTGAAAGGAATCTTAAAGTCTGGAATGGCTCGAGAAGATCAGCAGAAGGTGGTATGCTTCAGTGGACCAGCACCTGATGAACATCGGGAGAAAGCTGCTAGAACTACTTACCCACCGGGGCAGCAGCCTCACTTTACTGATGATGAAGACTTTTGCGAGAGATACAAGGATGCGGTAAGATAATAAAAGTAATTTTAAGAATGAGATCGACCCCAAACACCCGAAGAAGGATACGTACTAAATAAAGGCTGGAAACGCACTCGCGAGTCTTCTGCCAGTTTGTGTGTCCATGGGCGGCGGTATTACTAATCAGGTTAGCCCTGCCTGTTGGTTACATGTTCTATAAAAAATGGATGGATATGTGGATCTTTGAAAACTATGATACGAAACTTTTTTGTTTTCTTCTTTTTTCTCATAATCTTCATTACTGAAGGTCATACCAGTCTTAAAACCCGATTCATCGACTTGCTGCCTCCACACTGCTCTATGCAAGGGTTGGCTCAGGGCAGAAGGAATGTTTGGACCCATAATTGTCTTAATTTGGTCAGACCAACCGGTAGGTCGACCCCGACTACTGCTCACCATCACCACTTTGTCGAGACTATCCGGTTCTCTCCTGGCCAAAGTAGCTAACCTTTGCAAATGATTGTTGACACCCTTTTGGTGTTTTTTTTTGTTCTCTCAGTTTATTTAATAAAAACATATGTAGAAAAACATATGCTCTTAAATTCACCACTTGTTCTTGGAAGCCAATCGAAAAAATTTCCAAATCCAATATCTCTTCATATGAAATATCGTTGTTAATTACAGGTTAAGATATTTTTTTAACATATTTTATTATTAATAATTAACTATAAATTACTTTAGAAGTCATGTTGAACATGTTGTAATAGTTATAGCATTATGATGTGGTAAAGTTCAATATATAAATGAGACTGATAGAAATCTGATCAATGAAACATGTAATAATTAATGATTTTAAAACAAGTTTTTACTTTTGGCAGGACGCTGAAGAAAGAGCAGCGAGACGCGAACATAACATATGCCCGTATGAAGTAATTCCGAATAAACAGAGCCAGGAGGCGACAGGTGAAGAGGTTATACCCAAACCGCAGTTGCCTGGATACCTTGGCACTTATGGAGTTGATTGCAAAGAGGTCAGATTTTATTCTCACTTTTAAACTTACCTTACGCCGGGGCATCCCGAAGCTATATCTAGGATGCTCCCGTTCCTCGGTAAAACAATATCGATCAGACTAAGACTAGCACTTACCATCAACGGTGGTGTGTCCACCAAGCACGGGAGTCTTTAATAATGGTAAAAAGAAAATGCGGTACGGTATGCTGTCTATAGTTAGTGCGCCCGCGACAGCGGTTAATTTTCAACAACTCATCTTTGCGCCATTACGCCGATACACCACCTACCATTTTCGTTCTTTGACTGACACCGATTTAGCGCAAACAGCAGTCATGGCTGGCAAGCAGTACATTGTCATCCACCTTCTATTTTTGAATTGGTATAAAAATTTAAAAATAAGTAAAACAGAGTAGTACAACCTTCTCAGGTCTCGGCCTCAGATTTCTTTGTCTGTTTCAAGATCGTTTGTAGCAAGTAGATCAATTAGCTTGACACACGCCGTCTACTTTTTGGGTCTAAGGCGAGCCAGTTTCTCACAATGTTTTCATCACCGTTCGAACGAATGTTAAATGGGCATACACGTTGTTGGTTGTAAAATACTAAGTTAAAAATGTATAGAAATAATTAATGCAATTAATCAGTTTGGAGCTAATGTAATATTACCAACGTTGGAATTTTATCTATTCAATGACAATTTGGTGCCAGTGAGCTGTGTATTGCATGTGCTATTATCATTGTTATGAAATTCAAATATTGTTTCTATATTAAAAATACTAGGCGTAATGTCTACGGGTTTGTTTTTCTTCTTTGTCTAGGATGGAAGATGTGGTTCTTCCTTCTAAAGGAAGGATCTGTCGATCAATCTTAGCAGTGACTGGTCCGAAAGCCCCAATGGCAATTTGTATTTGTTTTTTTTAATGGAATATCACTGTTGGCTTGAGGGGCATTGACAGCTCAGCTCGGGCTGTTTTAGCGAGTGTAGTTCCACCGCAATGTTGATATTCCGTAAATAACGCAAGGGCGTCTGTGAGACTCGGACCTCGACTTGGGTCACCGCGTGGTGGTCAATCGCCTGAAGGGTAGGACGGAAGCTCACTGAAGTGTCTTGCCTTCTCCGGTGAAGGCGGTTTTGTACCCTAAGCCCAATGGCTATGATGAAGAAGTTGTATATATCCTTAACAGGAAATACATCGTCAGCGCGTTTCAGAATATGACGTTATTGCAGTGTGATATGAGCAGTGTTGGCCAAGTGGCTTCAGTGTGCGACTCTCATCCCTGAGGTCGTAGGTTCGATCCACGGCTGTGCACCAATGAACTTTCTATGGGCGCATTTAACATTTGCTCGAACGGTGAAGGAATTATCGTGAGGAAACCGGCTTGCTTTAGACCCAAAAAGTTGGCGGCGTGTGTCAGGCACAGGAGGCTGATCACCGACTTGCCGATTAAATTTACAAATGATCATGAAACAGATACAGAAATCTGAGGCCCAGACCTAAAAAGGTTGTAGCGCCACTGAATTTTTTATTGTTTTGTGCAGTGGTAAACAATCTTCTTTTTAACTGAATTAATGCAAGTGACGGATTTAAAAAGTGCTTATTTATACCAATACATATAGAAAATGCAATGATATTTCATTTCTATGTAAAGGTTTAATAAGACTAATAGGTATACTGCTCAAAACAATTAGCGGAACAAGATTTTTCTCCTTTCTATTGCTTAAACTAAAATTAGATTTAAATTAACTTGTACGCTATTTTTTACCTTGTTAATTTGTTAATTACTACAATTAATAAAAAAAACAATTTGTATTTTTTTTATAAAAAAAAATTAAAATGTGCATTGTAGACGAAAAACAAAGTGACGTCTTTGAATTTTCATTACTTTCTAATCACAGAAAACACATTTTAAGTAGTTTTTTTCAATCTTTTGAGTATTAATAGAAATTGAAGTGAGCCTATTGAGTATTGTTATTCATTGAAGCGAGTGAGTTTAGGTCATAATGCCAGATCTGACTGAATTGCATGTCTCCCGAGCTATCGCTTTGCTTGAAGTGGGTCGAACTATGCGTTATGTAGGAAATGATCTAGGAGTAGCCCCTTCTGTTATCTACAGACTTTGGAAGCGATACCGTGAGACGGGAGAATACTCACGAAGGCGTGGTCAAGGTCGAAAGAGAAAAACTACACGTTTGCAAGATCGCTGCATCGTCAACTGTGCTTTACGTAACCGCACCACAACTGCAAGAGATCTACAAAATACACTAAGGACGGCTACTGGTGTAGAAATTTCCGACCAGACGGTAAGAAATAGGTTGTTGGAAGTCAATTTGAGATCACGCCGACCAGTTTGGGCTGTGCGTCTAACAATTCAACATAGACAAGCTCGCCGACAGTTCGCGCAAAATCACGCTAATTGGCAACTTCGACATTGGAGGCCAGTGCTTTTTACGTTGCGATGGCCGTCTCCGTGTTTACAGACGCCCAGGCGAGCGATACAGTGCAGCAGCAGTCCAGGAATATGACAAATTTGGATGTGGCTCTGTGATGGTTAGAGGCGGAGTTAGTTTGGACGAGCGCACAGATCTCGTCGTTGTTCCCGGGCGCTTGTGTGCTTGAGCACTTACATTGAAAATGTGCTCGAAGATCATGTTTGGCCCGCAGCATATGGTATGGGCCCAGATTTTCTTTTAATGCAAGATAATGCCAGGCCGCATACTGCAGCCATCACGTCAGATTACTTACGACAGCAGGAAATCCGTGTAATGGAGTGGCCTTCCATGAGCCCTGACCTAAATCCAATTGAACACATTTAGGACTTGCTTGACAGGCGCATCCGGAAGCGTCCGATTGCACCTCAAACACTGCAGCAGCTCACTGAAGCGTTGAGGCTATGTTCAGATGGCAAAAACTTGACGCGCGTTTTCAAATCGCGCGACTAGAGATTATGGTATTTTTCATACAACTGTTCACATGTATGCGCTCAGAGAAAAAGTCTCTAGACGCAGGTGATCGCGCGTTGACGCGCGCTTTGATATTAATGTAATGTCCGTTTGCTGTTCAGATGAGCGCGCGCTTTCATCGCAATATTCAAACGATATAAGAATATTTCTTTGATGGACCTTTTTTATCACCAATTAGTTTTTCGTCTATGATGCACATTTTAATTTTTTTTAAATAAAAAACCACGCAATCACCCATATAATAGGCATTCAAATGTGTAATTATCATAATGTCATAATAATAAGAACATAAGATTTTTATAATTGTCTGTGAGCAATTTGACCTTGTATGGTGTCGTATCGAAGGTTCAAATTGAGATTCGAGATTAAATAATCTTGAGATTGAGAAACGAGTTTTACTTTAACCCTAAACGCCAATTATAACCTTCGTATGTCAAAAACGTATTTGGCTTTGATATATGGGAGTCAATATTTACGATTCTATAAACAAACAAAATAATATTGAAATCAGTGGCACTACAACCTTTTTAGGTCTGGGCCTTAGATTTCTGTATCTGTTTCATGGTCATTTGTCAAACTAATAGGCAAGTAAGCGTCCTGTGACTGACACACGCCGTCGACTTTTTGGTTCTAAGACATGACGGTTTCCTCACGATGTTTTCCTTTACCGTTCGAGCCAATATAATCCGGTCAAATTAGACATAAAAATATTGGTCAAATGGTCAAGGTCAAGTGGTCCAGAGTCTTCTGTAGAGAATTATAAGATCTACAACTGTGGCTTGAAACTTTTTTGATAAAACTTACCGTTTTCGAGAAAAATAAAAAATCCTCAAATTTTGACCTTTGACCCCGAATAACTTTTGTAGCACACATAGGATCGACGGGGATTTTTAAAACTTTATTTATAATTATAAGCCCCAGCTCTCCACCAATTTTTGGCTCTCCGGGAATATTTCTTATTTCAAATGTCTATATTGACCGGACTAATATTAAATGCGCTCATAAAGTCCATTGCACATCCAGGGATCGCACCTACGACTTCAAGGATGAGACCTGAAGCTACTAGGCAACATTGCTCTATCTGTGTTGCTCTATGCTCTCGATTCTAAAAACAATTAAGCAAAAATTTGTTGACTCCAGGTTCATAAGGATGACTAAAATACCAATAATAAATTATATTATTACAGGTGCCTGATTACATGCGTTTGTCCCCCGACGCGTTTGAGAAAGTCAAGAAACTACGTCGCGATATTCCCGAAATATCACCCGCGGCTGCGAGGGTGGCGGAACACCCTCGGGAGCCGCCGCCCCCTGTGGAGGCCTGTCTCACGGCACCAGCGCCAATCAACCCGTGTGCCAAGAAGAAGGAAGACGTGGCGTTCGCTTGTCCCCACGTTAAAGCTGTCATGCCGTGCTGCGATCCTGATAAACGTGGACCGGTTTAATGATTTTTAATTAAAATATATTAAATATTTTTTAATTCATTCCTTCCCAATGCATCATGAGCCTACTACAAATTCTCAGGAAGCCGTTAATGTTTAATTGGCGCTACAACCTTTTAGGTCGGGGTCCCATTTCTGTATGTTTCGTGATACAGGCATTTTTGGGTTTTATGCAGTGATTTCAAACGTGCCCATGCCCCCGGCATTTGATTGGGCTGGATTGGAATGGCGGCGATTTGATTGTTAAGGGGATTCGAAAATTTATTAAAATTATTTGGAATTAGAATTTCAGTTTTTCATTGTATGTTTTGACTGCTCAAAAGTTTAATACGTTGTCTAATACAAATACCTTGAATAACTCCCGGCAGTATGCGAATGCGGGAAATTAGAAAAAAATCATCCTTCATTTACAAAAAAATTAACAAACCGGTGGCGCTACAACCATTTTTAGGTCTCAACCACAATAGATAGAAATGTTGACACGATTTTATATACTGTTTTTGAGTGGAACAAACGCGCCACTCATGATTTTTGCGTAACTACTGTTTATAGAGCTAACGGAAGCACGGTACAATATGTATAACATACCTATCGCTTTTAACTAAAAGTATTCATTTTCTTAGCTCAGTCACGTGATACAATGGTAATGTTTGTAAATATTAACTAATCCAATTACTGTCTTGGAGTTTAATTTCGTCGCTGTTTTTGATAAAAATATACATAATGTGAATTTAGAAAGATAATTAACACGTAAATAACTTGAGGTTTACGTGTTTACAAGCATGATACGCCATAGGGACTGCTGCGACGCGACGCCATCTTGCTTTAGAAGCGTTTTGGCGGTTTCAAATTTAAATTTGTCGACACGAACTGTCATTTTCATACAAATTAAGTTTTCTACTTTTATATTTACACGACTGTTAAGGCATCTTGACTAAGCCCCCGGGGCTATTTAAAAGCCAATTCAGTATATTTATTAGTTACTATAGAACCTATACAAATTGTTATTCGTAATTCTATTAAGTATTAAGTAACTAAGCTTTAAAGACACAAATGGAACATAAAATCCGTTTTTTTAACCCTTGATATACCTACCTCGATACACAGACTATGCTACTATCGTGCCATATACCATATACTGCCTTTCTTGTGCATTTATGGATCTGTCCACCTTATGTGACCAACCTATCTTCATATTAGAATAAAATAAATTTAAGTAACGAATGTCAAATATAATTTAAGGTAAAACATAAATAAAACAAGTTAATGATGAAAATATATAATTCCAAGCAACAATCTTAATGCAATTGTCATGTGTTTGACATTTAAATACAGTTTATAAATGTATAGTAGCGATAAGGCCGCCCGTTGCTTCCCTTATAATTTTTATGTATTATGTTATATGTTTTTCTATAACTTTAACGAAGTGTAAATAAATAAATAGTGTCAGACACTTAAGAAACTCAGTATACGTGATTTTTTTAATATTATCTAATTGCAGGCACAGGAGGCTGATCACCTTCTTGCCTATTAGATTGACAAATCATGAAACAGATACAGAAATCTGAGGCCAGACTTAAAAAAAGGTTGTAGGGCTACTGATTTTTTTTTAAATAAACTCAAAACCACAGTAAAGTTTAAGTTAAAAGATAACAAAAAATGTTGAATAATTTAATTTTGACATCAACAATGACAATCGTATAGATTATATAAAATAGATAATAACAAGAGCGATCACAGACAATGTCACAAACATTCCACCAAAGAGGACGTATTTGTCTTGCGACACCCTTTTTTCTATTAGAGAAATCGTTGCGTTGGACAGGCCAAGGGTATTCGCCAAGTCAATAAGTCTTCTATGAGCACCTTTGAGTGTGTCTCGGTTGTATCGCAGTGTCTCCAAAATACTTGAGCCTGAAAAGAGGTTTTATATTTATAATACTATAATAAAAATAATATTACCACGATTGATATTCATCATTAAATTATTTATTAATTTTATTTTAAAAAAATTGCGGAGGACAACCCAACCTTAGGGGTTTGAAAGATAGTAGCCGATTGTCAGACTTACTGAATATGCATAAAAAAAATCATAAGAATCGGTCGAGCCGTTTCGGAGGAGTATGGGAACGAACATTTGTGACAAGAGAATTTTATAAAGGTATTAGATTTATAACAAATCTAAGCTGTCTAATGATTGGTAACTAAACGGGCTTTTATTATTAAATTCTTTTTATTACATACGAAAACACAAAGTTGCGTGGTAGACCCTTTGTTCGACATATCTGCGCACAATCATGTCCTTCATGACTGCAGTTATGCAAGTATCATTGCAATCATTAATTATTAATAATGTATTGTTTGCAAGAATAAAAAATGAAATAAACCTGTTTCATTTTTTGCTAAGAGGTACGCTTGTTTGGGTTCGATTTCTGGTACAAGCGGTGATCTTATGATCTACAGTCGTGATTAGAGAAATTCGACTGTTTGACCCCTAGCGATGTTTTCCTGTTCTCAGACCTCAGAATGCTCGCTGGACAGAAATTTTGCGCTGATGAAGAGGTAATCACCGATAGTGAAGCCTATTTTGAAGTCAAATAGTAATATAAAAAAAGTGCGTGCGTACAAAGTACACATGTCAGAAGTGAAACTTCTTTGGCAAACGAATTTTTAAGTCTAAACTTTAGATTTCCGAGACTTAGAGGGAGGGAAAAAGGAAGATATGTAAGGTATTAATATATATAATAATATAATATATGTAATGTAATAATATAATATATGTAATGTAATAATATAATATATGTAATGAATTGTCATAAAAATATTAAAAGTGTCGAAAATTAAACAAATCATAAATTTAATTTTTTAAATTTATTTCTTTGATACTAAAAACACGTGGCATTTTAATATTTTTTTATATTCCACATTTAAAATATGAATACAATTTCATTTTAAAATTCGGATCTGTAAACAAATTTATTTTACAGGATTATACTTTTGTAAACATTGCAATGGTTTTGAAAAAGTATATAATTTTTTTAGAAATCATTTAAAAAATTACTCAAAACGTAAATGATGTAAACTTCTTACATGAAACTAAATATTTTACTGCTAATTTAGCTTGATAAAACCTTATATTCTTTAAAGGTTTTCTCTTATTTCAGTAAAAAAATGTTAATGAAATAATCAAAATCCCATTTTACTTAAAATAAGCGTAAATAGTTTTCAACCAATTATTATTGTTTACCACATTATTTATACATTAATGAGGTTGCTAACTCTATTCAGAACATTTTTTTTTCAACACTGACTTAGCGCACTCTGCTGATGCATTTGAAAACTAATTCACGTTCCAATTAAGCTTCAGCATAATGCGGCATTGTGCGGCACTGAGTCGCATTATGCTCTGTAATTGGAAAACGCACTGTGTTACCTATATGAATAAATGATTTTTGACATAAAGAAAAGAGAGAAGTCACTCACAGAAGAACAAAATAAATACAGATATCCGAAAAAGAACAAAAACTGATGCACTCTCCCTTGAAATAAAGTGGGCCGAACACGTGGCCGGGTGGAATGGCCTGATGAAATGGCCACAAATTAAAAATAATGGATGAATAAAAAAGAAAACCAAACGTCTAACCTACAGCAAGGCGTGGAATAGGAACACTTACATTACTGTGGGAACAACACAGTTTCAAGGTGAATCGAGGCAGAAAATACATAGCCGTTCAATTAATACCAGCTGGCGGGTGACTGAATAATTTGATAACCGCCGCCCACCTGCAACTCTGTGGGTTAGCGGGTGTTGCGGAAGTTCAGAGAATTGTACACTTGTTGAAGGATCGGTTTGGAAATACTGGCAGTTCCACAAAGAGTGGCGACCCTGAAAGTACCTTTAAAACGACTTAGGGTCCTTCAAAAAAAGAGCATATCAATTCTTAAAAGGCCGGCAACGCACTTGCTAGCCTTATGGCAATGTAAGTATCCATGGGCGGTGGTATCACTTAATATCAGGTGAACCTCTTGCCCGTTTGCCTCCTATTACATAAAAAAATAAAAAGCGCTGTGTTGTAGAACGCAGGGCCAGGGATATGTAGGATATAATCTTTGTTAACACATTGTTGGACATACAATTAAAAAGCGATTAGCGATCTGTTTACCAACCACAAAAAATAAAATAAATATCATAGTGCCACCAAAATACTAAAGAATTTAAAAAAATTGTGAACCTTACGAAAATGGGTTTAATTTTTTTTAACAAAAAATTACGACCTTCCAGATTTAGCCCCCAAAAAGAAAATCAAAAACGGCCTAACAAATCTAAACTTAACTAAACATAAGTAAAGTATGTTCTTCATGATTAGAATGACGTCTCTTACCTGGAAAACATTGCTTATAAACGAAGGCCGTTGCACTCAATCTTTAGATATAACCGTATATGAAATTAAATCTATGATACTCATAGAAAAGTGGATCCATTTTCGTATTGATAATCACGGTCAATTATTTACATAACTGGTTGTCTAAGCCTGACGGTCAAGGCAGAGATTAAAGAACTTGCTATAAAATGCTATCTTTAACAATTAAACTTATACAGTGTTAACAAGCTAACGCGTTTCTTGTGTCGTGATATAAAATATGTAATCAAATGTGTGAGTGAAATTGAAACAATTGAAAGTGAAGTGAAACATACGTTTTTTGTTTGTATACAAGAAATCGAATCAAAATGTGGTAAGTACAATAGAATGTTCACCGTAAAACAAAAGTTCTTGTCTCTGTCAAATTGTTTGTGCTATACGGTTCACAGAGTAATAAATTTAAGAATTAATGGCGTAATAGAGAAAGTCTTTACCACAGAATAGAATTAAGATTTTATAACAAAAACAGTGTTGTTTGTCTTTGTCTGTCGAATTGGTTCGATGTTGTGTAGACAGTTCAAAGAGCAATAAATTTACATATTAATGACTTAGTTGCTGTATTCACCATAGACTAGAATTAAGAATACGTGATAGGTACTCAATTATTTAGTATTACGCAATGTTTTTATTTAGAATGTTTTGTTAGGGAAAACAGATTAATAAACATCTGACACACTGTTTGTTTCGCTAACATGTTTGAAAATGTATTATAATTTAAAGAGCTGTCAATCTATTTGACATTGACAATGATTAACTAGTATTGGATGCATTAACGAATAGCAAAATATGATATACACAGATAAAACAAAACATTGCGTGATAGGAAAAGTAGAGTGATACATGAGCAGTGTGGGTTTAAACAGGAGAAGACAAGGAAATGCCAGGGAATGCTTAGGTGGTAGTGGTGGTGGTGGCCACGGACGAATGAGAAGCGGTTAACAAGTAGGATATAACCGTGGATGGTGAAGTACAGGACGTACTAGAGAAGGAACAAGTGAAAAGTACGCATAACCGATAAGCATGCATGGTAAATGTCATGAGAGTGGATGAAACGTAGGTACCGTAGCAAGTGGAGATCAGTGGCCTACTCATTCGGGATAAAGACGTGATGATATAAATAAAAAGTACGAAAATCATCGTTTGTGGAGTAATAAAACAATGTAGGACTTTTTCTAAATCACTTAAAAATGTTTTTGATATCTAAACGAATAAATGCGTAACCAAGGAAGCTTGACGTCTTTTTTTTAATAGAACAGGGTGCAAACAGGCAGGAAGGCTCACATGATGTTTAGTGATACGGCCGCCCATGGACACTCAATGCCATGGACTCGCGGGTGCGTTGCCGACCTTTTAAGAATTGGTACGATCTTTTCTTGAAGGACCTTAAGTGGAATTGTTTCGGAAATACTTCAGTGGGCAGCTGGTTCCACATAGTGGTGGTGCGCGGTAAAATCTGCCTTAAAAACGCTCAGTTGTGGAACAGTGGACGTCGAGGTGATACGGATGGTATTTCGTATTCTGCCTCGTCTGTCTTATAGCATCATAGCTCCTAAACGAATTGAGTTGAGACAAAGTATATTATTCAAAAATGTATAAGAAAATTACAGAATGTTGTTACATATTTTTGTCTCACGAGATTCTTAGTCTGGCCATAAATATTGTTACATAAAAACTTTTCTTTTTTCAACTTTTTAATTATTTTGAATATGGAACACGTATATTTTAAAATCTTCTTTTGATTGCGCCATTTCACATATTCGTGTTCATTATCAATTACTCTTTAAAAATCTTTGGAGCAAGCAGTGTTGCAATTTCCCTAGGAAACAGTGCGTAAATCCAAGATTCGTAACCGTACAGATGAAAGTCCTGTATAAAAGCCAAAGGTGGCCTTTCGAGAATATTTTTATTTTTTGCTGAGACTTTAATAAATATGTAGGTATACGTTTTAATAATATTACATTACTTCATTGTTTGGTTGCATTAACATTTTTGTTTATACATATTATTTATATTTTTTCTTTAGATTTTGCTTTATTTAATTTTAGTTATACATAGTTACATGTTTTTTTAGTATTTTTTTGTTAATTATAATTATGCACTTAACTTTACCCGCTGTAGGTGTTTCTTTTTCTTTTGCTCCATATTAGGGTTGCCTGGAAGAAATCGCTTGTTAGCGATAAGGCCGCCCGTTGCCTAATAACTTATGTAACCTGTTTTTTTAATATGATATTATGGTAACAGAATTTATGCCCGGACTAGGTACAAATATAAATCGCAAAATATGTTGCTAAGCGCAAAACTCGAAGACGAATGGACCAGGTCGAGTGTTTTTATTCCTCAAACTCTGATTTTATAGAGAGAAAAATTTAAAAATAAAAAATAGTTTTATTTAGTACTTCGGCTTTTAGCGAACAGTCTTATAGTGTAGCATAAATATTCCATGTGTTGATTTTACGCCACGATGCGCAAGCGAGCTGTATCTCTGGTAAGGGA